TGTTGAAAGATATCCGATATGCAATTTTATGGGGGTGGGGAAAAAGTGATTTATGGTAGGGGTTCTGGCTCTCAGATTAATAGTTGTTCATTAATTGCATTGATACTTCATTAATATTTAACTGTTAACAATTAAAGTATATGAGACCATGATAGCCAAGCATGGTAAAATTATTTTGTGGCGGACCCACAGAATTTATCTCAACCTTTCCACTCTGATTACAATAGGTAGGACGTATTTCTAAAACAATACCCACTCGCCGTATTCTCGAAATGGCAAAGTATGGGTTAATAAAAAAGCTTAATTATTGAAGTCATAAGAAATTAAATCATAATCCATATAAATAAAATAAAAGTTTCATCTGTACATTGAATAGAATCAACCCTTTTTATGATAACTTTGGTCTCATACATTGCAGACACCAAATCCACTTTTGAAAAAAAATTTTTCTGCCTGTATGTCCTCATTGCAATGAAATTTTGTTAGGCGTAAGCTCGGCAATGGCTTATTGTAGACTTTTGAAATTTTTACATTATTTAAGGTTTGTTTGACTTAAAACATAGGCTTTAAATGAAAACAAAATGTTGAGTAGAACCTAAGTTATGAATTCTTGAGGAATTTGTCTAGAGATCTCGCTTGATGTTATTAATAAATGTTAATAATAAACATATGTTTATAGGTTAAAGATCATCTATATAAATAAAATAAACTGGCATTAATAAATAAAATAAAGGATTTGTCTGTGCATTGAATAGAACCAACCCGTTTCATACATTACAAACACCAAATCCACTTTTAAAAAAATGTTTGTCTGTCTGGATGTCCGTATTGTCCAACGAAATTTTTTCAGGGGTAAGCTCAGCAATAGCTAATGGTAGACTTTTGAAATTTGGACATTATATTTAGGTTTGCTTGACTTAAAATATAGGCTTTAAAACAAAGTATTGAGCAGAACCAAAGTTATGAATTCTTCTAATGAATAAATAGGTAATCTTTTTGTTTGTTTTCAATTAGGAATGTTAATATAGAGGACAATAACCCTTAATCCTTAATTCAATGAAATGATTCTAGATTCCAATGTTTACTTTCTATTGAATCAAAATGTTTATTCATTATCATTAGTTCAGTGCCGTTTCTTGCAGCACATTTCTTAGTCTCCGGGTTTTAATTTTTTCAATATTAAGTTTAAAAATGCCTCTTAGTCCTGAGGATGTCGCGCATGGTGTGGCACTTAGATGATCTACGTTTCATTAGATATGCAGCTAATGCCATCAGAGTTCCATATGAAACTTTACGAGGCGCCGTCAGGCGTTTTCGGGAAACTGGTTCTTACAATAGAAGGCCCGGTTCTGGACAGCCTAGGGTAACAGAACCACGGGATGACCGGTTTTTGACTTTGAGAATTTTACGAAACCGGCACGTTACCATTGTTCAAGTGATTCATCAGCTCGAAGAAGTTCGAGGTGTGTAAATTTATGAACGTACCGCTCGGAGAAGATTAAATGAGTGTGGATTAATGGCTTTTCGTCCAGTAAGAGGACCAGAGTTGACCAAAACTCAGAGAGTAACACGGCTGGCTTTTACTCAAGAACACGGCTAGCTTTTACTCAAGAACACAGCCATTGGACTATGGACGAATGGAGTGCTGTACTTTTTACAGATAAGTCAAGATTCGCTCTTCGATCTCCAGACGGGCGTGAAAGGGTGTGGAGAAGAAGAAACGAAAGATATGCAGCCTGTAATTTTTCCCAGAGCCAACCTTTCCAACGTGGTTCCTTAATGGTGTGGGCTGCGATTTCAATGGAGCGCCGCACGGAATTGGTTGTTGTTCGTGGAGGGTCTTTGACGGCCATTCGCTATGTAGATGAGATTTTGAAACCTCATGTGTTGCCTATCCACAACGAAATCGGCGATCGTTCTATTCTAATGCACGCCCACATGTCGCCCGCATAGTGCAGACGCTCCTTCAACAGAACAATATTGAGGTTTTAGTCTGGCCAGTACGTACTCCAGATTTGAACCCCATTGAGCATTTATGGGATAACCTCGGAAGACGAATAAGAGCGCGTGCAACACTTTCTGATGCACTGCAGAACCTTGAAAGGGCTCTTCGGGAGGAATGGGCTATCCTCCAGCAAAGGGACATTTCCCGACTGGTGGAAAGTATGCCGAGGCGTCTTCAAGAAGTAGTGAAGTCAAGAGGAGAGAACACACACTACTAAACGATGATGTAATTAATTTCTTTTAGAATAATAATGGTTCGTTTTTCAATTTTTTTTCTCTAATCTTTTTTACCCAACCACATTTTGATTATTAAAGATAAAAAAGATTATAAAATTCCATAAATACTAAGTATTATCTACAAATACCATGTATTATATACAAATACAACTTTACAGGAATATTTTTAGATGAAAACATGGAAAAATCAAGTGGGTGGAATTTTTTGCCTGTTTTTTGCCTGTGTATATATATATATTGAGATCTTGCAATTTTTCATCCTTGTTATAGATCATTCCATTCAATTGATTTTCACTCAATTCCAAAGACTTAAATAATTTCCGATCTACCCAGAACTAGTTTATGTTCCAACATCTTTTACATTAAATTTTGAATTATTAATAGTGGCACTAATTATAACCAATTATTTTTGCTATATATTTATTTATCCACCCCCGGTTTATATATTTAATAGGTAGTAGGGGAATAATCCCTGTCCACCTAACAGCGGACCAATCCCCATTTGACAGATTGTAATACTTGTTGCTCAAATTGGATAACTATGACTATAATTTACTTGTATTCTGTAATAAACAGAACAAAACCTCAGTTTGAATAAATTTTTAATCCTTTTAAAAATCTATATTGTATATTGCCCATTATTGCCTAATTTACATTATTGCATAATTAAAATTATTCCTTTTCCCAATTTGTCGCCATAACGGTCTGTCCCGCTTCTTATATGTAAAATAAAATATCACACGGTCACTAAAAACTTTTTTATATAATAGAGAGTTAATTTAATATATATTTTTATTAACACAAAAAACTCCCAATACCAAATTATATTCATTAAAAAAGTTCAATGTTCAGAGATTCATTATGTATGTTTCATCACACAAATATGATGTATGGTGGACAAATGAGTTATGGTAAAATATTTTTGGTCTTTATGCTTGGTAAGGCACTCCTGTTTTACATCTAAACACCTAAACCATAAGTTATTGATGTGATTTTTATAAATATTGTGTCTTAAACTTATAAAAAAAAACTATAAAAGATAGCCATTTTTAATTATTGAGTGCCTTAATTGTTATTGATAACTATAAATTAGTTCTTATTGTATTAAGTTAATCTAAAACATCAAATATATTGACTAAAAGTTAATATTTTGTATTTCAAAGTGTTTGTTATTAACTGCCATTAAGCAATTTTATAAAATACATGTAATTAGGTAATTGGGAGTTTTTGTGTTTATTTTTTCATAATATAATTTAGCATCAACACTAAGAAAAAAAAGAAATTCAATTTTTTAATTGGACATATGTTAATTTTATTTTTTTCTATTAAATAACATGTGTTATTAAATAATGAGGTTAATTCATCTCTATATTTTAGTTTTGTCATTTAAAGAATATATAATTAATTTTTTTTAATGTATCTTCCCAATTTTAATTATATTAACTTTGTTCCTATTTCTTTCCCTCAGACACATGAAGTATTTCAGGTTAGAAGTATTTATCAATATCTTGGAGCTATAAAAAGTGAAGTGGCAAATGTTAAATTAAATGTTTACTTATTATTAATTTTTATCACAGTCGTGAATGCGACTTTATTATCTTCCATTTTTGCTTATTTTCTATGTATTAAACCTTTTATCTATTATATTTTATTTTAAAATAAATTTGAAATGTATTTGGTCTTTATTGTTTCTCTGATTTTTTTTTTTTTTTTTTTTTTTTTTTTTTTTTTTTTTTTTTTTTATCAAAAGTAAATAGAAGATCCCATCCAATGGTTCAGAATTTGGCTTCACACTTCTTCTTGACTCGACTTCTGTTGTAGTAGTAGCATTCAAACTTTTGATTTTTAAATGATTTTCACCAATAAGATTTATGATTTTTTTTTTTGTTTTAAAAGAACCAACAAGCATAAGAAAGCTAAGAATTTTTCCGCTTATATAGCCATTTTAAGTTGCTGTCAGTTCAATTTCATTAATAATCATTAATTTTTAATCAATATTTAAATAAATCATTGTCAGATTTCTTCATTTAGTTTAAATCTATAACAATAAAGTCAATCTAATGTAAATTAAAAATTTAAGGTGTTATAATAGGAGATATACGAAAAATGTAAGTTACTTAATGTCTCTAGTTTTTTGCTTATTATTTATTTATGTTCTTATTTTAGAATTTTCCTTCATTAATATTTTAGAAATCTGAGTAAGAGTAGAATGTAGAATATTCAATACTTTTTATTATCAATTAATGTTTACTTTTGATGTAGTGTTATGATGGTGCTAATTTATAAAATACTCCTTATTTTTATGAATTAAAATTATGAACAATGATCATATTTTTTAAATTTTGTATTGTCTGTGTAAAATCCCTTATCACAGACATTTTTTTATGTATGTGAACAATATGTATATCCATAGCATATATAGAATTTTTTTTTTACTATCATGAGTGATATATAGTTAAGACGCAGTCAATTTTTAAGTTTTTTTATTATCATTTCAACCCAAGCTTGCAGATCAAGACCAGTACTTGAAGTCCTTCGGTGCTGGTAACATGTCGAAAAGAGGAATCGCAAGCTTGGGCTGAACATTGGCAATAAAGCACTTATAAATTTACTGTCATGACTATTTATTACTTATTATATGTTAAAAAGTTGACAAACATCCTTCAATTACTTATACTATTGTTGAAAGTTTACCCATTTATTTCTTTATAATACAGATTTTTTTCCTTAAACAACAAATAACAATTTTATTTTTGTAGCCACCTCCACCACATATGATGGGACCCGGAGGACCTCCAATGGGAATGCCGCCACCAGGACCATTTGGTCCGCCACCAGGAATGACTGGACCTCCAAATCCAAATGGTCCACCTCCTATGATGCCACCAGTATGTATTAAACAGTATCCTACTGCTTTATTATAATTATTTTTATTTTTCATTTACGTGTTTTAGAAATTGGTTTCCAAAAAACTCATTCCATTGTTGTTAATTCCAACTTCAAAGGAATCTCTTGTTTTCCTTACCTACTACCAATCTTTTTATATGAAATTCAAGGACTTTTATTAGGTGGGTCAGAGTCATCAGGAACCATTAGTTAGAGAAAAACTTTCTTAAGTCGATATGAAATCTGGAACCATTCTTTAAAGTTTTTAAATTAGTTAGATCATATTTTTCCTAAAGTTGTAATAGTCTTATACCATATATTTTTTTCACTCAATATTTTTAAACTAAGTGTAATTTTAATCGGTGGTATCATTTTTAATATTTAATAATTCACTTAAAATATTAATATTAAAAATGATACCACCGATTAAAATTACACTTAGTTTAAAAATATTGAGTGAAAAAAATATATGGTATAAGACTATTACAACTTTAGGAAAAATATGATCTAACTAATTTAAAAACTTTAAAGAATGGTTCCAGATTTCATATCGACTTAAGAAAGTTTTTCTCTAACTAATGGTTCCTGATGACTCTGACCCACCTAATAAAAGTGAATTATTAATAAATATTGATATAAAAATTGATGAAAAATTTTTTTGAAAAAAATAAAATCACTCATAAGTATTCAATTTTGAAATTATTAATTATTTTATTTTATAATTATTATAAATGTTGGTATAAGGTAAACTTATTTATGTTTTAACACAGATTACATATCCCAAATGAAAGAGATACAACTGATTAAATTCTGTTTTTAAGGTTTTAGCTTACAGCCTTTTTTTATGGCATTAGCCGTTGTTGCCAGAATGGTTAAAGTTTCTTTTGTAGCAGCCTCATTATTGAGGCCATTGCTTGGAATAAAATGGCATCAAATAAATTTAATTTGAGACTGTATTTGCATTTCTAATAGACACTAAATGTAAAGAATACAAACTAAACCATCTGAGTGTTTCACATAATTAATTTGTGATTTATTGTTTTATTTTATCCATAGCCAGGGAACATGGGCGGTGGTGGAGGCGGAGGACAAGGCCCTCCTAGCGGAGGCCCAGGACCTGGTCCAGTTCAGGGTCCCCCAGGTCCAGGGGGTCCACCAGGCCCAGGAGGACCGATGGGAGGAGGTTCTGGCCCACCGATGAACATGCCTCCTCCCAACATGACTGGTGGTCCTCCACCTCAGATAGATCTTTCTGGAGAAGTTTGGGTAGAAGCTAAATCAGCTGAAGGAAAATCCTATTTTTATAATGCACGTACTAGGGAAACGACGTGGTCCAAGCCTGAGGGTCAAGTAAAGATCATCATGCAAGAACAAGTAAATAATTTTATATTTTTAAAATGATTCATTGCTAGAAAGTTTTTCTACTTAAAGATGGATGTATAATAGACTGTAAAAATGAAATGTAGTCAGGATATACAGTCAATAAACCATGTTTATTAAGTTTTCCATCTTGGTATATGTGGGTCATCATCAGGGCAAACCATTTTTCTGATGACGGATCACATGCTCATGCTGAAACATCGCCAAACTTTATTAGCACGATTATCGAGTGTATATCCTCAATATTTTTAATCCTTTCTACTTTTGATTTTTATAATATATGATTATTTTTATTGTCTCTTTGGTATCGTAAGACATTAAATAAACCTTGTGTTAGTGATTTATTTTTCTTAACATAACATATTGTATTAAAAGTTGTATTCCTTCTTTCATGTCATCTACTAATGTAAAATATGATTACATTAGAAAAAAAAGTTTATTATTCATTAAGTGTAATGTTTTTGATTTTTGAGAAAAATTAATATTCAGAAGTGCAATCAGTCTGATTATTTAACACTAATCAATACCAATGTAAGTATGTTCTGTGAAGATTGAAATATTGGAGTATCCATCTTACAAGATTCAATAGCAGTGTTTGTGAATCACAATATCAGTCTTTCTATATTGTAATAATTGTGTTTAATCCCCCTGGGTCAAATTTTGTAAAATATTAAATAATCATAATGGTCAATAACACTCAGAAGGTAGCACATTCATATATAGCATTTCCAAGCCAATTGTAACCTTTTCCATTTCAAACCTTTAAGGTTAGATTTAACAGGAAAAGGTTACATTTGAAATGGAAAAGGTTACAATTGAGATAGAAAAGAAATATACAATTATTAATCTGAAAATCATTCTTCACCTCGTAGTTTATCGAATGATCTTGCTAGCTTTTTGAAATGGGGAAATTGATTTTCGATTAACCTAGCATCAAATTAAAGAACTATAGCCTCAGAAACCTCTTCTCTAGGAATTTCAATTTCTTCATTTTGGTACTTGTGCTTTTTTTGCGACTATAAGATGTTTCTATTGCTCGAATGTGCTTTAAAAATCCAACAAATCCAAAGGTAATAGCAGAGTCTGTCTTTAAAGACGGTTTATAAGGTTTTTCAAAATATTCAATTTTAACTACTTATTTTTTCGATATCACAATATCATCTACTTATTTTAAAAATCATAATTTGGTTTTTAGGTTAATAAATTCTGTGTAATGCTTTGTTAGTTTATTCATTTAATTTTGTAAGCTACAGTTACTCAAGCCTGAAAACACTGTTTAAACTATGTATAAATATAACTTTGCTCTTGTTATTAAAATTCTTTTAGTTAAGTTGAATTAAACTTCATATTTTTTTTTATGGGACTGGATGTTCATTCAATTGGTATGCATGTTAGGTTGAAGCAATGGCTCAAGCTGCAGGTGTGAATCCTGGTGGCGGTCCAATGGGCCAGGGAATGCCACCGCAAGGGCAGCCACCTCAACAGCAGCAGCAGCCACCACCTCAAGGGATGCAGATGGATCAAGATAAGCAAGGTGGGCCTCAGAATGGTCATGATCAGCCACCACAGCAGTCTCAACAGCAGAATATGCATGGTAATAATTGTTAAATTCTTTGTCTTTTTTTTTTTTATGAGAGAATATGAGGAAACAAAGATATTTGTAATGTCATCAATAATAACTTTCTAAACCGTTTGATTCCCGATAGAAATCTAGATATGGACGAGTTTATGGCTCCATTTGGAGGGTGTTTAAAAATTCCTCACTTTATTCTAAATAAAGCCCATAAGTATGGAATAAACTTAATAAGCTATGTACTACTGAGGGATATACATACAATAAATAGTATATTCAGGAAAAAAAATCTTAAAATATTAATTAAAGTCTTTCTGAAGCAATAGTTCACCAGCTACTTTCGTTCCTTGGGTGGCGGGGTGGCCGAATGGGCTAAACAGTGTGCACAGCACTGCAAGTTGCCTCGCAATCGGATAATAGATATAAGAGATTTTAAATAAATCCTACTTTTTAAGTAAGAGTTCGCTTCCCGGTGCCGGAGGGGATTTTAAATTCCTTGCCCTCACTCCCCAGCCCGGGAAAATCCCATATAGCCTAAAATGAGGTAGGGAAAAATAGGAAAAAAACAAAAAACAAATAGGGGTCTAACTTGCAAAAGGTTGTGTAATTCAAATTTATTTTTTATATTGTTAAGTATGCAGTGACTATAAAAAATACTAATTTCCGCCCTTGAAAACCTTGTGGGTTCGCTGCACTGCTCCAAAAACCATTGAAATTTCAAAATTTTTTTGTTTATGCTAAATATATCCTTTTTAAAGCTACATAAATAAAAATCTGGTGTGTGTAATATACAACTTTCACTTACCGTTCAACTTTGAATAGAAATTATTTTCTGGCCATGTTGGGCTATTATAAAATTTTTGAATAACATTTATAACCTAGCTAAAGCTAAATGCTAACAGCTAACAAATAATAAATGCCATGAAAATAACAAAAGTCCTATTTATTATATCATCACCGGTTGATTATGGGTTGATTAAGGAATCACCTTCCGTTGATTAAGGAAGTGTTATTAAACTGTTATTATTTTCCTTTGCAAAGTTTACTAAAATGGAATTCCGAGATTTGTATTGTCTGTCATAGACAGGTCAAAAGTTGTTACACTAATTGAAAGTGGAAACTGTTGGAATATCACAAAGGGAAAATTCATCAAATTATTCACTAATTTAATTTTCTAAAAAGTTACATGACAATATTTTGGATAAACAGACGTTGATACCTAATTATCTAAATATAACATCAGAGTTATTTAACTACATTAAATATATTTAATGTTATAAGTATATCCATAAAATATTTTTATATTTCACTTCTTCTTTTACACAAGTACAATGAAATAGTGTCTTAAACCGTGTCATTTCCTTGAATCTCCGTGAATTTGAAATACTTTTTCAAACTTGAAAAAATTTCTTACATTTAATAAGAAAATTTCATTTAATTTCCTTGAAAACACGTGATTTACATTAAATTATGTTAGTTTTTAGAAATTGTTATTTATATTTTTTTCTCCACTCTCCGTTACCCTCTACAATTTTCTATATTAGATTTTTTTTTTTTTTTTAATTCTCCGCTTTCCAACGATCCTTTCAAAAGTTATATTTAGCAATTTTTCGTAACTCTGAATATTGTGAGATGATTAATTTTTTTAAATAAACCATATCAAAGGTATTTTAGAAACGTTGGACATTTAAGGCCTGTAAAGTGACACCAATGGGGATAAGACCTGATAGATATTAAAGACCACTTAATTATACAATGATACACATGATAGTTTAATCAAAATCGTTAAAGCCGTTGTTTTTTAGAATTTTGTAAAAATGTGTTTCAATGTAATAAAGTGGCACTTCTGGTTAGCTCTGATTTTAAGGAAAAAGTTGCTGTGATATCTAAGGCATGAACCTATCTTAAATACGTAGCTTTTCGTTTTTGAGCTAGGCTGCTAACATACACACACAGACCATTTTTCGGGACTTAGTTATTTAGACTCAGGGTATCCCAAAACGTGTATTTCCGTTGAAAACTCAGATTCAAAAATTTTCTCGATTACAATACTTTCCTTACTATATATTTCATATATAGATAAGTGGAAGTAAAAAAAATGTTATGTACTTACTCTTAAACAGCTTAAAATTATCTAACATTTTTGTACACATATAATATTTTTTTCTAAATCCAACTGGAAGCGAACTAGCGAGATTTCAAAAAATGGGTAAAGTTTAAAAAATGTTGACAATTAAATTATTGTATTAATATTTGTTCGTTAATACAATCAAATATTAATACTATAACTATGGCAGAGGACTCTAGCCGCCTATGATGCTAGTTCCGCTTTTCCGTCGATCAAGTGTATTTTCTAAGTAACTGCTTCAAATATTTTAAAGTTTAATCAGTGTTTTAGAAAGAGAAATATATTGTCCAGGTGTTCTATTTCGAAGAATTTTTCGTTATTGTTAGCTCTTTATTTACAAAAGACGCTTGATTTTCAACTTTAATTTGAATGGCTTGAAAAACTTGACTTCACTACTGTTTTTTATTGCCAAGGCCAATTATTTTTTCATGTTTTATTATTCTCTAACCATCCAACTTTAATAAAAGGCTAATTATGGCGAAGTTAGCCAAATGCTGAATCTCAGTAACTGAAAAATTAATTAAGTCAAAGACATCAATCTGCTATGTTTAAACGCCGTTTTGCAATAGCGCGGCCACTTGTTTTTGTGGGAACATTGCCTTTTTTTAAAATAAAATGTTATGTACGAAAACATTGGACAGTTTTAAACAATCCAGTAAAAATGTGCTTCAAAACTTCTTGTAATAGCCCAATTTTAGCAAACAGAAATTGTTTTTCTAAATAGAGCAGTAAGTGAAAGTTGTGTGTTGCATGCACCAGATTTTTATCTTGACTTAGAAAAAGTATTACACAAATAATATGTAAATTATATCATGAAAATTATAATTATAAGTAATAAATAAAACTTTTCTCATTTCATTTTCAATATTTAAGATTTATATCTCTAAAAGCAACACATGTTTTCTGAAATAAAGAGAAATATTAAAAAAACTCATCATGTAAACGGCATCGGACATCTGAGTCCATTCCTGCAATTGCTGGCCATTAATGAGGAGATAATCAACAGATCAACACACTGAATAAGGAATTTAGTTAATCTTTGTTGTAAAAAGATAGTGGGTGATAAATATTCAGGACGCAGTCTTTTTTAAAAAAAAAATTTTAAAAAAAGTAAACAAGGTTAGAGGGGAAGGGAGGGTAACATTAGTTGTTTGTAGAATATACATAATTTGCTGACAAATATTTCAGACGTGTACAATATTTGAGTTATTTCATATGGTTACAGAAATGTGACTATTGACTAGTATTAAAATGAACATAAGCAAAAGGTGCCAATTAATATAAATATAGCTTAGTTTGATAGCAAGTATACAAGGGTTAGATGAATAATTTTTATGATAAAGACAATTTCAATGTATGCAAATGATACTTAGGACAACATATTATACAATATTTATCATAATATAAGTTTGTGTTATATTAAGGATTACATAGGCTATTGTTTCAGGAGGCGGAAAATATTTGAATATGTATTGCAGATCTTTTCTTTGTCTACTTTATGGTTTACCGGATTATTTTTTTCCAAATTAATGAATATAGATTCCGATAGTAGTCGTTTTTGGTGATTGGGAACTGTGGCGAGTATGGTTGGGTTTTCGAAATCAAATGTGTGGTTTAGGGTTATGGCGTGTTCCACTAGTTTTGAGGCAAACTGGTTTCGTGTGGAGATGCTATATTTGTGTTGATAGATTCGTTTTTTTTAAATAGTTTTTGGTTTCTCCTATATAAGAAGAATTACAGTTTGGGCTAGAGCATGTGATATGGTATCATATAGCATGTGAGCGGAACAGGATCTTTGAGTTTGGTGTATAGATCTCTTAGTTTACTGTTATTTTTGAAAACTATTTGTAGATGGGGAAATTTGGAAGTTATAGCTTTTTTGATTTTTTGAGATAGGACAGGGATGTATGGAATGGATCTATATTGGCAAATCGTGGTGGGGGACTAAGAGCAGTTTGTGGGAGACTGATGAAGATGGGGTTTTGATTGATTTTTGATCAAGTTTTTTATAATGTGGATCAGGAAAAGCGTTGGATTTCAGGATCTTGTGTAGTTTGGTTAGGTTGTTATCGTGGAATTGTGGGTCGGTTAATGCTAAACTGCGGTGTATCAGATTTTTAGCTACACTGATTTTTTGGTGGTAAGGGTGTTGGGAAAAATAGTTAAGGAGACGGCCTGACTAGGTAGGTTTGGTGTACCAATTGGTGGATAAGGTGTTATCATTATTTCTGGAAATGAAGAGGTCAAGATAGTGTAAAACTTCTGGTATACCTCGAAACTGAGGTATGTCTCCGGTGTCCGATGCCGTTAAGAACTTCATAACTAGTGTTGGTCACATTTTTTTTTTTCATGTATCTTTGATTAAAACTGTTTCTCTTGACTAATTTTGGTGTAAAAAACTCAAATTTTCTGTCAGAATCCTTATATTAGCTATCGTTCTACAGATACGTATACCCAGCATTGAATCCAAAAAATTAAGTTATTGGAAGTTACACGATCATTTTTTAGGCTTTAAAAGTGCTTTATTATTTGTGAATAAATTGGTGAAATCGCTCACCGGGTTCCTCATTTATTATTCCACAGTTTTCGGGAAAGAAGTCCAAATGAGAGTGAAGAAAGTGAATCTTGAGTGACATGTTACAACCAAGATCTCTGTACTTCTCAAGGTGGGTTTGGGACTAAGACAGCATAATTGTCCTTTCTTTTGTAACCCGAGAAATCATTAACTAAAGCTGTTTACAGCATTTATGCTTCCTACGCTGCTCTTTCTTTATCCTTAAAAATATAAAAAAGCTGACAGATTTGTGAACCAACGAACACACCCTCTTTTAGGAGTTTTAATAAAATAAAAATAGCGATTCACAGCTAGTCGTTTCCTGCAATTCACAGACAAAAATCAACTTACCAAGTCAGGAGCAGGAAATTTCACCATATTATGTAAAAAGTAACTATATCTTCGAAACTCAAGCTAACTGATGATTTTTATGTGGTAATTCGAATTTCTCGCACCGAAAAACATGGAATGAGGCAGTTTACAAGTGAGTTACCAGTGAAGAACAGCATTGTAGTTGGTCATAATAGATCACTTCCATGTTCTTCATTTCTCCCATCAAAATCATCACTTTTGAATTTTTTAAATCACTCAAAGGACTTAAGAGCATGTTCGCTGTACACTTTAACAAGCATTCAATGTTTGATAAAATAATTAGGACTTTTGCTGTATGTCGAATAAAATTGTTTTTAGTTCTTCTTGTAATGTTAATTTCATATATAATTGCTTAGATGCCATTTCTGAAATGCAATTCTTGAACAATAGAATTATGTTTTTATTTATCAACTGAAACCATTTATTTAAAAGTAACAAATTGTCATGGAACAAGTTCTCGCATTTTTTGTTACAATTTTTATTAAATGTTCATTCTTACTACATAAAATTTAATTTATCCCAATATTTAATTAGTGATAATATTGACAAGTGTTTATATTTAGTTCACCTGAATATGTATATTCACAATTAACTTTACATTTAAAATTACATTATTACTTCAATTTAAATTTTAGGTTTCATGCCAAACCCAACAGGCATGCCACCACCTGGGTCGATGCCACCCACAGGGATGCCACCTGGAGCGATGCCACCTGGTGGAATGCCCCCTCCTGGTGGACCACCTGGAGGACCTCCTCTTCAACCTCCTATGGGAATGCCTCCTCCAATGATGCCTCCCCCTTTTACTGGAGGACCTCCGGGTTATCCTGGTGGACCTTTTGGCTTACCTCCACCTGGTTTTCCATTTCCTGGAGGATTCCCTCCTCCTTGGGCAGGGATGCCAATGGGGCAGGCTCCTCCGACTGCAGGACCTCCTACTATATCAGCTCCTCCAATTACATCTGGGCCCCCACAACCAGAAGATTCGTCAACTCCTCAGGTAGTTTTCTTTTTTTATTATATTGTCTAAGCCAATTCATTAACTATATGACATGATTTTTTTTATTTATTTATTATGTGAGCTCACATTCAACAAGAACTTAAATATTATTCCTCTAACTTCCTTTCTCCATAAGGTTTTAATGGACATTCACAAAGTGCTGAAGAAAAATGTATATACATGTTTAAAGTTATTCTTCTGGATTATGAACTTTTGTTATTGTCCAATGAAAAAAAGTTTAAATTTCCCTCATAATTTTAGGATTTACATTTCAAAATATTAGATTCCAGAAATCAATCAACAATAATGGTTTATTATTTCCAAACAATTATATATCATAAGCTGTAAATAAGAAAAACATCATCATTATATAAATAGGCAAACACAAAACGTTTCACCCCCTTTTTCTCCTCTATTATTCAACTGATTTTCTTCCTTATTTTTTTGTTTAATAGCTATTGTGATGAGCTTTAGTGTTATCAATAAATAAAAATATGAAATAGTATGTAAATAAAAATATAAATGGTAGTTTGTTCAAAGCGGCTAATCTCTGAAAGTTCTTCACAGATTTCTTTGAAATTTTGACACAACGTTGCAATGATGTTTGTAAGTGTTTTTTGTATACGTTTCATTATCATCAGGCCTTTCCTTTCGAAATGGCGGCTGAAAAACATGATTCGCTTTAGACAAGCAACAATACGGCTTCAATGATTTTGGTGAAACTTGGCTAAAGTCTTACCCTTAAATATTTATAATTTATGTATATAACATATTTTACCGAAAACAAGCTGCATAAATTTGTATGGTGAATTCAGGATTTTATTTGCGAATAACTCTAAAAGTACACATTTTTTTTAATGATCATACCAATATTTATTTCAAAGCTTCCTGAATTTCCTACTTTTGCAAAGTCGATTTCCATTATTTTGGTTTTTGATAAATCAAAAAGTTTATATTTAATGAAGTAATCGGGATTATTATTTGAAGAGATGATATCATTGAATGATATTGGAATGTTAACTTATAAATTAAATTTAAAAGTAAATTCTATAGTTATACTCATTCTTAACTTAAATACTGCACAAGCATTAGTTAATGGAACACCAATGAGATTGAAGTATTTACGGGAACTACTTTAAATAAAAGAATTTCAATTCAAAGAACAATGTTCTTATTGATTGCTGCATTTGCTTTGACCATAATCAAATCGCAGAGTCAAAGTTTTGAAAAATTTTGTGTATTATTGCGATGTCCAGTAATTTCACATGGATAATTAATTATATGTGGCAGCAAGTAGATAGAGCATGTTCATTTAAAATTTTGAAATTTGTATTTCCAATGGCAATGGGCAAGGCTATGTACTAAACAATAACGGAACATTCAAAAAGAACATTGTTTACAGAGACGTTCTGCATAAAAATGGATTTAAACTGAATTGAAATTGCTAATTTAAATTTATTTTTTACTTGCTTATTCATAACATTAATTTATTGTGATAATAACACACACAAATTAAAATGGAAATTAAATATTTTTTGATGAGTCTATTTTGTATTACTTATTAATAATTTTAAGTAGTTTAAGCTCAATTTTTAATTGGAATTGAAATTTTGTGTATATTAATAAATGAGGACTTTTGAATTGTGATTACTCTTTATTTATTGAATTTATTTTTTATTTAATTATACGTTATCCTCAAATTTTTAATGGCTATGGTCGAATTTCGACAACCGGGCGAATTCCAGTATAAATAAAAGGTGATTCCTAATGTTGCCCTAAATAGTTTTTTATTTCATCATTAGTAATTTCCTAAAAAAACAAAAAAAAAACATTGCTTCAGTTGATGTAAAACTTTCCCAAAATTCAAAATAAACGATGTAAGCTTTGCAATAGAACGTATTAAAAATATTTAGAACGCCATATCTTTGCGCCAATTTGTCCGATTTAAAAAAAATTTTTTTGGAAATTTAGTAAATTTAAAAAAAAAAAAAAACATTACAACATCTACAAAAAAAGTGTATACTTTTTTAGTTACTAGGAATTCTAATTTTATCAGCTTCTTTTTGTTGAAGTATGTTCTACACATATATTTAAAGGACATCAAGGAGAAGACTTAAGTCAAGTTTAATTGAAATCTGTACATTCAATTAGACGCTACAGTCTATAACAACACAAGTTTTTCAACCGCCATCTTGAAAGGAAACAGCGGATAGCAATTTCGAGGTAGGACGATCATCCTCACGAAACCTCGGACTTTCATTCCAAACTTGAAAAATATCAGTCCAGTAGTCACGAGGAAAATGCTCGAACGCAGACAGACAAATTTTTTTTAAATTTGATTTTCAAATTCTACGTACCCTGAAATGTAAAACCTCAAATTTTGAGGGAAGGTTAACTTTTTGAATTTCGTGGACGATTATAATGGTTCATTATTGAAAATAATAAACCAAAAATTAGAGGCATGATGAAAAAAAACTAAGAAGGTTTGAAAAGTTAACAAATTGAGATGGGATGAATTATATTTTAAAGATTTTGAAACAGACAGCAATACCTGGAACTATAAGGCTCTATGTTTTAAAGCCCTAAAATTACTATTTAACATGAGCAAGGATGTGCACATAGCAGTTTTCCATCCATTTTTTAATTCCTTAAACCGCAGGTAATTTTTCCTCACTAACTGAGGAAATTAATTTCCAGTGAAGAGATGAGGTTCCCACTGTTCTTGTCATAGTTGCTCTTAAAGTTTCAAATGCAGTACAGGTCATGGCCACGTGCTCTACAGTTTCTGGAACATTATGGGTTGGGCATAGAGAAATTACATCAATGCCCATACCGTGAAGTTACTCGAAATCCTCCATGCCCAGTGAGGGACTAGGAAACCCAGTAGCACTGGAGGACCCACTTGAACTAAAAATCTATTGGAAAAGTAAATGGAAGGTTATAGCTTTTATTTTATAATAACGATAATAGGGCTTGCTCCCCCACAATATTTTAGCGAACCAAAATAAAATCAATAACAATTAATCTACATGAATGAATAAAATATTAAACTAAAATTAATTAAGGAAATAGAAAAAGTTGGCTTGACTAGATGGCTAACCTAAGGCCTAGAAGAAAGAAGTAGATACGCATTTGTTTTACGATACTCAATATTCCTATTATTGAAATTTTATTTTATATTCAAAGATAATTAATTATATGTAGTGGTGGATTTATTCATGTGCACCCTTCCATTTTTACATGAAGATTTTATCACATTTTCTCGAAGCGAATTTCGTCTACTAAAAGCTATGCAACGTTTATATGAGAGAACCGGTGAGATTTCCTGGATGAAACAATTAAAGCTAAAAATACCAACCCGTCATTAAATAAGATGTGTTTAATCAATTTCTCTAACGCTTGTAATTTCTCCAAATTTACTAAATTTCCAAAAAAACAAAATTGTTAAAATCGGACAAATTGACGCAAAGATATGGCTTTCTAAATATTTTTTATATTTTCTATTGCAATGCTTTCATCGTTTATAAAGATCTTTGATTTTTTGGAAAGTGTTACATCAACTGAAACAAGGGTGATATGTAGAACAGTCGACTAGCTTCTTTTAACAACTGAAGCAATGTGTTTTTTTTTAGAAAATTATTAATGATGAAATAGAAAATTATTTAGGGCGACATTAGGAATCACATTTTATTTATATGTTTTTCTTATATAGAACTTATGGTATATAATTGTTTGGAAATAATAAACCATTGTGTAATAATTTGAAGCGTTTTGCTTCCTCACTACCGAAGGCAGGTAAGTATTGTGTTCGTGTGAGAGGTTAAAAAAAAGTTTTGTGCTCAGAATCGAAAATTTCACACATCAAGGATGACATTTTTTTCGGTTTCTGTCTGTAGTCAAATCGATGTGATGGGCATATCACCTAGTACTGTTTATCTGATTTTCATGAAATTTTTAGGGATTATGCTGATTGGTGACTAAATGGTCCCATATCAATTTTATCAAATTCCATCAAGCACTTCCGCTTACGCACGCTTTAGATAAAAGGTAGGTAATGGTGAAAAAATAACGTAATGTCAATTTTATTGAATTCTGTCCACTAATTTCTCATATATATGCGCAAACGTGTTTTCCTTGATATGTCTATATCTCTAAAACCGCATGTTTGATTTGGCTCAAATTTGAAGGGAAGTTGGGGATTGGTAAACAGTTTATGTAATCAAGTCGGTGATGAATTCTATCAAATTATATCCACTTTTCCTAGAAAAAATATTTTCCCTTTCAGATCAGCAAACGTATTATTTGGCTAGTCTATAGTTTGAAAACTGTGTTTTCAATTTGATCCAAATTTGGAGGAAATTTGGAGAATAGTATAGAAATTTCCTAATATGAAGAAATTTCATTGAATTCCATTTAATAATTAAAATTATTATAAATAATTCTTAACAATGTAATGGCAGTGAAATGTGATAGGCACTGGTCAAATCGAGTGGGAGTTAGATTATTACAATATTTTTATGGGGTTATAAATTTTAAGATTTATTCAAAGAGATAATTTATACTGTATTGTTTCGTCGATTCCAAACTTGTTGTAGATTTTGTGTAATTTTCAATAAATTTAAATTAATTTTTACTCTGAGTTTGTAAAAAAAAATAATCTCATTTGTGATTGTGATTATTTTTTTTAGAAACATAAATAGAAAAATCAACTTTATTCTGGGACTAGGTCCCTTTAGAATAACACTATTGTTCATATAAATTAACCATAAATCTGGCCAAAAGACCTATTACAATGAATAATAACAAAATACTAGTAATAAATTAAGTATGATAGCTCTTAGGATAAATATAAACGAGAACAGTTGGGTAATAGGGGTTCAATACTACAATATTGGAGCTATAACAGTAGCATAATAATCACTAAATAAAATTAGAAAGGAACACAAAATCAATTTTATAAGCAAAGCATTGCAGTGATGGAAAACTAAAAAAAAAAAATAAAAAATAACTGTTAATATATAAAGAAATAAATTGTAAAAAAAAAAAAAAAAAAAAAAATTATATGCATATGTTACCTAAGATATTTAAGTGATTACACGTAAAGATTAGGAGAAGGAAAAAATAAAATAAAGTATATATATATATATATATATATATATATATATATATATATATATATATATATACATACATAGCAAGGAGTGTGTCGAAGATAATTAGAAAATAAAATACATTTCAAAGAAATACAATCTCATGAATAGAAAAATTAGAAATTAAGAAAAACAAATTTTATCTACTCACAATGTTTTGTGAGTGGTGATGAAAATTCACATTCAACACAGAATAAAACAATAAAATATAAGAGAAAAAAGATAATGTCTAAAGAAAATTAAAGCCTTATTACCTAATATGTATTTAACCTTCGTCTGATTGGGTTGTGAAGAGGAATTGGAATTAGAGGGTTTTAAAGGTGGATAAGGATGATGCATGGCGGATTTTTAGTGGGATGGAATTCCAGAATGCAATGGAACGGACATTATTTCTATTTAAGTTCAACCAGATCATTGTGATATCGAGTTTATGTGTTATTTTTACAAATATTTTTATGTTCCAGCTTAAATAGTTTTGTTCTGACTGAAGAAAAGTATTGGTCTCGTTAACTCTGAAAAAACAAAAAGAGTTAACGTTTATTTTTTCTTATTTCTCTTATGGAGTTTTTGTAACATCGATTTTACGAGTGAAAATATGCCGATTAAATACATATTACTACTGTTAGTGCAAAAGGTCGTAAGCATTTTGTTACGATGAAAAATAGCAGCGGGCAATAAATTTTGAAATTATACTAATGAATCATAATGTAACAATTAGTTAGTTTTTATGCTTTCCTGTAAAACACTCAATGTTTACGTACAACTTTTTGCACTAACAGTAGTGATATTCATGTTCAGTACGCACTCGATTATTTTTTTTAATCCCGAGTCATCAAATATGCAATCTGCATTAGTGGAACTTTTTCGCATTTTAGTATTCGCTGATGAACAAAACTCGTGGATATCAAATCCCCCGTATATGTTAAGGGGTTTCTGAATTTCTGAAAAAGGCTTCTCCTAGAGATTTTATGCTCACGAAAAATGTTAGCAAAAAATAACATAAAAAATTATATATTTTAGCGAATGCAAACGGTGAGAAAGCTATACTGACCTTCCTTGGCAGATGTTTTTTCAATGACTTTTATTGTGGTTGTTATAAGGTTTTTAAGTTTTGAAGTTTGCAAGCATCACTTTTCTATGAAATGACGATTCGTTTGATATCTCATTCATCAAAATCCATCGCTCCTGAGAGCTGGAAAAGGGTAGTACTGTATTATAGATAGTGTAGATTTTATTTTGTTTTTGCCTGTTGTTATTTTCATAGAAACCTTTAAAATAAATGTTAATATTTTTATTCATATACATAAAAATCAAAAAGTATTAGTAAATAATTAGAATACAAAATTGTTGACATAGGCAGGATCGTGTAAATTTTTTAATAAGTACTTTTATATTTTTTTTTAGCTCAGTGGACATTTGCCATGGGAATCTGCCAGATCCAAAGGTGTCTGGTTTTGAGGAGTTTTATTGCAATTAATATGATTATAATTATTATATTTCAGATTGACCCCGAGATAGTTGCTAGAGCTGCTGAATGGACTGAGCATAGAGCTCCTGATGGCAGATTTTATTATTATAATGCTAAAGCTGGAGAATCCGTATGGGAGAAACCACAGCCTTTAAAGGATTTAGAAGGTAACCTTATTTATCGTTAAAAATTACAGTAAGTGCACTAAAATGACAAATTCCCTATTATATATCAAATGTAGTTAAACGAGGCACAATTTTCTGATTTCACACATCAAAAATTCATGAAAGTTCTTAGTTGTTTTAGGCTTTGAAATATCTTTTAATAACTTTTTATAATAAACTTATGATGATGTTGATACCAATTCTGAAAACCATTAGTCTAGTAGTCTCTGATAAAAGCTGTGGATGAACAGTTTTTCTTTTTATTTGGTTTTCCGATTCCACATATTTTGAAAGGTTGAACCTCAAATTTTGGGTGATTAACTTTTTTTTTTGCCAGTTGCAAAGGCTGTTCATTGAAAATAATAAACAATAAAAATAAATCGGACCAGTTTTAGCAAAGCTACAGCGTATTGAATTTCATAAGCTGATTTTAATGATAGTTTGCGTTCCCATTTACACTGATTTATTTCATCAAACTCATCATTTCTTTAACCGGTTTTCAGACAAATTACTGTCATTCATTTTATTTTTTATGTTTAATTGACATGTTTAAATTTGTTGAAATCAGTCGGAAAGTTGCATGCGTGAACGCACCAGATTTATCAATTATAAATTTTATTTATAACTTCCTCTGTAAAAGGGGACAGTTTTACAAATCAGGTATATTCATATTTGAATATTCCTCTTGTAATTTTTTTTATGTGAAAGTGGCGAAAATAACACCACTTTCTAATAAAACTTCTCGAATGTGGTCCTCTGAAAAATATTTAATTGTTTGATTCATCTATTTTGTCGAACAATGACTATACGTATACTTTTTGGTTATTCTTTCATGGTGAATTATAGTTATGAATATGTTATTGTTTGTTTGTTTTTTTAGTTGCCAAGCAAGCTGCAGCACAAGGTGTGACTACCACTATGCCCCCATCTGCAGCTCCTATTACTCCGCCTACTTCTAGCACAAATATCAACAATACAAAAACAGAAGAAAATGAGTCAACATCAGATGATGAAAATGTCTCTGCACCAACAGAAAAAATTGTCAATGGAGAAGTCAGCATGGAGAGTGAACAAGATGAAAAACCAGGAACACCTACTTTGACAAATTCTAACACTGCTAGTGAGGAGGACAAACCCAAGTCTGTTTCAACTACCATACAACAACCTCAGCAACAGCCACCATCACAGCAGCAAGAGAAACCTACTCAGGACAAATCAAAGCCAGTATCAAGCAATCCTGTTCCGGGTACACCATGGTATGTAATGATTGTTTTTAATATTTATTAATAATATCTTTGTGATCATAATATTGTACAAATCAAAAGATCAACATCAGTAAATTCTCCATGTTATGATTTTTAATATTTATATATTCTATTAATTGCTATACCTCTATAAATTTATTCCCTAAAAACAGCACTTGTATTATAGTATGTCAAAATAGTTTCTTATGAAAAAATTATAGATCTATTTTCATTTGTTTGTTAAAAAAAAAAGAAGTGAAAACTCAGTTGTAAAAATGTCCCTGTAGCAATAAAAGGGCATTCATGAAAGGAAATAGTATCAATAAGGCTGCCCTACTAGGAAAAGGGCTTCAAAGCATCTTGTCTTGTTTCATTATTGTTGATTAAGACTTCAATTATATTTCTAATATTAAAACACATTAAATCCTTAGTCCTACTTTATTTTTTCTTTACACCCAAGGTTTCAGCCATTAAGGCCATTTTCAAGGTAAGAAAATCACTTTTTTAATAAGATGAAAGATCTTTTTAAAACAGAAATATTAAATCATTTAGGCTAATTTTCTTATGTCATTCTTTTATTTAAATTTGATTAGATACAAGCATGTGACAAAGGTAAATTAGTCCAAATGATTTTATGTTTATTAAACTACGGATCAACTGCTTCCAGCAATGCCATATAAAATGCCCTGATGATCATCGCTCAAAGTTGGTGGATGAATGTAAAGGCAATCTTAACCTTCTTTGTAGTGCTAACAAGGTAAGGGTACCTGGGCACTCAGGCATTCCAGGAAATAAGAACACCGGTTACCTTGCTAGGAAAGACTCTGCACAAGTGCCGGTTGCAGCAGAGCCTACTTTTGGGATAAGCCTTGGATTTGCCAAAAGCCATATTACAGCAATCGTGTGCAATAAATTTATGCTTCATTGGAAACAGACTAGGAAACAAACTCATTCTATGTTATTCCTAGTAGGGCCCTGTTTCAAGAGAAGTAATTCACTTCTTCTGATGGACAGGAGTACCATTAGGCGTGTGACAAGGTTGTACACTGGTCACTGTCAATTAAATATGCACCTTTTTAATTTGGGTGTAAGTGAGCTTCCACCTGCAGGCTGTATGGCCTGCAGGATAAAATGACTTATCACATTATCTGCAGATGTGGTAATTTTGCTTGACTTTCACTTTGGATGTGATCGTATCACTGGCCCTAAGCACTATGAACTGATTGATCCTATTAGTATTAACAGGTTCGCAAAGACATCTGACCTGTTTTAATTGAGTTTAGGACGACACACATTAGGCCTTCTTGAGGCCGTGCTGCACTCTAATGTAGAAACAAAAAAAATGCCCTGATGAAGACCTACAAGGAAGGTCGGAACATTGTTAAACACAATAAAATACTATCATAATATATAGTATTATATACTGACACCGCATCCCCAACCAACTTCTTCCCAAATTATAATTACAGTCAATCATCTCCTTACCAGTAGATATCTATGAATAAAAAAGTAACCAAAATTTCAAGTATTCATTGATTCATTATGAAGATGATTGATTGTCATAATTCCTTCCATAATTGGTAAAAAGCCTTGTAATTTCCTACTTTGCTTCTGTCTGTGTATATAAATATATACAATTGTAATATTTGTCAAATGCATAAGCACACATTTATTTTCTGATATTATTTTGATTTTAATGTGCAGATAAGGTATTTATTGATTTTTTTTTATGTGTTCCTATAGGTGCGTGGTATGGACAGGAGATGGCAGAGTTTTTTTTTATAATCCTTCATCTCGCACATCAGTATGGGAAAGACCTGAAGAACTAGCTGGCAGATCAGATGTAGATAAATTAGTTTCAAGTCCACCCGAAGCTGCAGTAGAAGCTGGTGTCAAGCGGGAAGCAAGCAATGATACAGAAACGAATGTATCTAAAAAACAAAAGGTTGAGCAACCACAACCTCAACCAAAACGTAAGCTATATACTATATATTGTAATACTTTCAATGTTTTTAAAAATAGTGATTGTGTCTAAGATTTGAGATTTTAGCAAGTATGACTAAAATGGCTTATATTAGTAGAAAAGTGCGTGTGGTCGGTCCTATGCATTAAGAACCTAGTTCATAAACTGAAAGTTGCATGAAACTAAAATTAGGTATTTAAGGCAGGTATATGTCTGGGATGTTATAGCAACTTTTTTTTTTTAAATCGATGAACTAGGATTATAGACTAAATAATATTTAATGCATAATCTTATTATGTTAATATCCTTTAACAACTTTACCTGAGATTAATATCTTTTAATCTGATAGTAGACATATCAAATAATTAATTACTAGTAGGACGGTGCGAAAAATTCGCACAGCATATTGTTATCAAATGCCAAATTAATAATAAAATAAAATAATGCAACATATCAAAAGATAAAGTAATCAATTGTTACTTTATCAAGAAATATAATCGACAAAAGAAACAAAATTAATTTAAATCTACATTTTTGTTTGGAACCAACATATTTACAAATTCCAAGAAGCTGTATCTTTTTTTTCTTTTTTTATATATATTTGTTGGCCTTAAGCACGTCGACCCCTACTGGGTCCATTGTGCGCCAATTTCAGTTAGTCGTTTTGTTTAAAACGTTAATCCTGTCGCTTCCGCGTATCTAAGTAGGCTGATTGGATTGACCGACTCATATCTTCTGGGAAATCCATCTGTTCCTCCCCAAATACCACCAGTCTCAGCCTTATAAATCTGTCACATCTGCATATGATGTGAAAAGCTGTTTCATTCTTCTCCTGACAGAATCTGCATAGCGGATTCGTCATTACTCGGAGATTGAACATATGATTATTTAACTTACATTGACCTGTATAGATAGCTGTAAGCTTTTTAAGGGCTGCTCTGTCCATGTTCAGTAGCTGTTTACTTCTTTTTTACATGGACCTTCAAGGAACAGCTTTGAATATCTCTGTTTCTTGTCGGTCCAGTAATTACTAAATTTGTTACCATAAATCTCCCTGATCCTACCCTTGGCAATGCTGAGGCTGATTCCACAGACAGGCTCGGGAGTTACAGGAATGGTATCTGAGCCCAATCTGGCTAGCTCATCAGCCACCTCGTTGCCTGGTATGCCAGAGTGACCTGGCACCCACTCCACTGCAACTCTGTTGTGCTCAGTTAGCTCGTTAAGTGCTCTATTGCATTCATTAACGACCTTTGAATAAACATAATAGTTGTCAAGAGCACCTATTGCTGCCTGACTGTCAGTATAGATGGTAATCTTTTTCTCAGTCACATTGGTTTGCAGTAGGTTTTGTGCACAGTGGCAGATTGCCAGTATCTCAGATTGAAACACTGAAGCATACCTGCCAAGTGGTATAGAAATTTTTTCTTTTATATCTTTGCGATAGATGCCTGCTCCAGAGCCGAAGGCTGTTAGAGAGCCATCTGTATAGCAATTTATTCCACTATTTGGTTTATGACTTCTGCTGCTATCTATCCCAACCTTATATTTTCGGTCTTGATATTCTCGGATTAGAGTGTCAGAGTGCATAGCTAGTACTCCTTCACATCCAATCCTGTTCAGCAGTATTGTGTGTCCTCCCTGACAGGGGACTGGTGAAAAGTAAGTTGACTTGCTTAACCTGTACAATGTATTTGTTGCCCGTGCCTCCACCTCCAGCTGCAGCGGAGACATGCCCAGCATCACCTCCATGGCAGCCGTCAGTGTCGTGCTCATCGCGCCTGTTATCATTATACAAGCAAGCCTTTGAATCTTTCCTAATGAGGATAAGTTGGCCACAGTCTTTGCTTTGTGCCGCCATAGCAAGTAAAGTATGATAGGTCTGACTGTCGTGTACAGCCAGTATACCATTTTTGGTTTTAGTCCCCAATTCTTTCCTATCGCTCTTTTACAGGCCCATAGGCATTTGAGGGCTTTACTTGTCACGTTTTGAACGTGTTTAGTCCATGACAGTTTATGGTCCAAAGTGACTCCAAGGTGTTTTACTTCCTTACTCAGTGTCAATAGGATACCATTAATTTACGGCATTTTAATAGCTACCTTCTTCTTAGTGAAGATACACACATTGATTTTCCTAGGATTGATGCTTAGTCCTTTAATCCTGCACCAATTCCTAAGAATACTAGACACAGTACTGAGGATATCAGAGAGGACACTCTGATGCCTCCCTCCTATGAAGATGGCAATATCGTCAGCATATCCCTGAGCATAAATGCCTGCAGTGTTTAAGGCTTCCAATAATGAGTCAGCCACAAAACACCACAGTAGCGGAGAGAGCACACCTCCTCCCTGTGGACATCCACCACAGGGTTTAATCCACAGTTCCTTGTGCCCTATTTCTGATTTTAGAACTCTGTCCTCCAGCATTCTCCCAATCCATCTGGAGGTCATAGCGTCTATCTCTTTTTTCCTTAGCGCATCATTTATGATGTAAGGAGTTCTATCAAAGGCACCCTCGATATCAACGAAGACGCCTATCATGATTTCACTCTGTTCTAAGGATTTCTCTATTCTTGTTACCAAGTTATGAAGCGCCACCTCACAGGATTTTCCTGGTTGGTAGGCATATTGCTTTGAATGTATTGGACTAGTAGCCAATATATGTTCTCTAATATGTCTGTCCAGTATCTTTTCCAATGTCTTCATTAAGAAAGATTATAGACATATTGGCCTAAATGCCTTGGGGTCTTCATAAGATTCCTTTCCTGGTTTAGAAATGTATCGCACTTTGGATATCCTCCATTTACATGGTAGATATCCCAGTGCTAGGCTACCTCTTAGAAGTTCCAGAAGGTATGGCCTTATCTCTGGAAGACCCTTCTGCAGCAGTGCTGGAAAGATCTCGTCAGTTCCAGCAGATTTGAAATGAGAGAATGAATTCACTGCCTATGAAGTCTACTGTTTGTTATCACTCTTCTTGCCAGACCCCACATACGTGCACCAGTACCACGATCCTGTGTATTGGGGTCAAGAGGTTCATTTACTGTCGTAAAACAATTTGGGAAATGAGCTTTTGCTACCACACTCAATGTTTCCATCTCATTTGTGGTGTGCTTATCATCATATTTGAGTGTTCCCATTATACCTGTATTGATTTGTTTTGACAGTATTTTGTTTACCTTACATACCGCCGGCATGTTGTCCACCTCCAGACAAAACCTTTTCCAGGCTTCTCTTTTGGCTTTCCTGACAGATTTGTGATACTCAGTAAGAGATTTCCTATAGGTATCCCAATTGCCAGATTTTTTAGAAGCATTGAACAATCTCCTCATGAGTGCTCTTTGCTTTGTTAGACTATCATTCCACCAGGACACTTTCCTGTTGGTTGTAGATTTTTTGGCTCATTACTGGCCAAATATGCTCTAGTCATAGCATCAGTAATTGAAGTATTTAATATTTCTAATTGTCATGTATTGTGGATAACTTTAGGGCAGCATTTGACAGCCTCCTCCAAGTTAGAACTATAGGACACCCAGTTTGTTCGCTTGGGGTCTCTATATTCCACATCATGTTGTATTCTATCAGATATATCAAATCTGTGATTCGAGCATGTTTCTTCATCAGAGACATGCCAGTTATCTATAAGGTCACTAGTCAATCAAGTCGCTAGTGTTATGTCTATGATCTCAGTCCTAATTCTATTACAAAAGGTAGGCTTATTCCCCCTGTTCAGAATATCAAGATCATATTTGATAATAGTCTCTAAGAGTTTCTCACCTCTAGAGTTGGTGTTTGTGCTTCCCCAGATCTCGTTGTGTGCATTAGCATCCAGGGCAGCAACAATTTCCTCCTTACTCTTTAATAGTTCATCCATTCCTTTTTCAGGCTCTGGATGTTCATATGGCTATGATTAGTGATTTGTTATACCCTTGTTGGGTATATTTGGCTGCTGCAAGATCTCTAGAACAAAATTGCCATAGAGGCTGCAGTTTTAGTTTGTTTTTAAAAAGTAGGCAGGCTCTAGGATATGTGGGTGCAGATATTATTCCATACCCATGTATATTTAGTCCTTTGATCCTGCCTTCATATAAGTAAGGTTCAAGAATTAATATTATATCAATATCATTACCTTTGTACTGTTGCAACTCTCCACATGCCGCAATGCAGTGGTGGATGTTGATCTGCAGCAGTTTCATATGTTTTGATTGTTTTATGTTCCGGAAGGTGGTTTTCCAGACGGGGTCGATGGTAGGGTTCTTCCCTCCGACTCAGTTTTCACTTTGTCTTTGGGTTTCTCCCCGCCTCTCGGCCTCGCTTTCAAACCACCACCAGTGTTAGATGGGTGCTGCGAGACAGAAGTCTGGCCACCTGACCGCGACAGTGGCTGGGGTTCGCCTCTGCAACCAGTTTTCACTGGTTCCTTTGGCTTAGCCCCGCCTCCTGCCCCAGCCGACGGCCTCGACCCCGTCCTCGACGCACTCCTTCCCGAAGAGGAAGATTCCTTGTTCTCCCTCTCCTTTGATGTACCTGCTTTCGGCGCCTCCTCTTTCATTTCCTCCGGAGCAGGTTTACTTCCTGATGCTAGAAACCTGAAGGTGATAACATATATCCCACAGCAGGCCTGCATTCCATGTTCAGTGAGGCTTTGGAGGCTAGTCTCCGGTATGTTGAAAACTCCAAAGGATCCTCTTTCCAGAGCCTTGAAGTTAAACACGGTCCAGGTTTTTATCCCAGTAATAGATTGGTTCTGAATATGGAGCCGAGTTAGATAATAATCAGCAGGTAGTGCCTTTCCTGGAAAGAAGGCTCCAATCCTGATGATTTTTGTAAGATCACCTGCTTCACAAGTTCGTAGGGTTAATCCTTCTTTAATTGTGATGCTCGGTGTTATACTTTTAAACCATTCTACCGTATGGTTGTCTAGGCAGGATACAAGACATCCTCTGAGCTTAAAAAGCGCCCCGTCGAACTTTGGATGTATGTCACCGCCTATTGTGAGCTCGTCAATTTTACTTGCGATTGCTTCTTTTAGATCTTCGCATTGGTCATAAGTTAGCTGGATCTGCGCGTAGTCGACAGGAACTACCGCTACCAACTGTCCTTGCGCAACCTTTGCGTTGTTTTTGGGCCTTTCAGCCTCCCTTGGTTTCTTAGCTTCCACAGCTGAGGCTCCTAGGGATTTCCTAGCTCTTTTCTCTACAGGCAGTCTTGATCTAGACCTCAACCTTTGAGGCCTCGCACTCTTAGCGGCTGGCCTACGTGGCCTCGCAAACTTAGATGCTGTCCTCTTGGATGCGTCCTTCTCATCCCCTGCCTGTGTTATTGGAGCTTTACCCTCCGGCGTGGCAGCTTCGTTTGCCAGGCCTTTTGGGGCCCTTGCATCCTCCACTGCCTGCCTTTGAGTAGGCTCCAGTTCGCTAGATATTTGCCCTTGATCTGAGGCCTCCCTTTCACGACTCTCTGCCTTGTCCGCCAGGCCTTTTGGGGCCCTTGCTTCCTCGGCAGAGTTCTCTAAAGGTGGCCTTCTCTCATCTTCTGGGCTTGATAGTTGTTGGGCCTTTGCCCTTCTCCTAAGTCGCCTCTTCGCATTCCTTATCTTCCTCCACGTGGCAGGCCTCGAGTCTTCCGACTCGTGGTAGGCCTCGAGTCTTCCGACTCGTGGTCCCCGCACTCCGTGTGGTCGAGTCCAGAATGCGATCGGCTTCTAACCATTTCTGGCTTATTACTTTCTTCGACGTCCATGTACTCTTCCTGGGCCTGCACCATTGCACAAGCCACTTCCATCAGTTCCTTCTCCTTAAGGTCAGTTTGGACGTGAAGTGTTCCGACATCTTCTGTTAGGGTTTTTAGTAATTCCCCTACCAGATTTTCATCAATCTTATCTGAGGTGACCTCAGATAAGTTTAAAAGCTCCTCGGAGGACAAGTCCTCCTCGGATACCGACGATTTATTTTTTTTAGTTTGTTTTGGATTGGACATTTTGGTTCCCACGAGTATGGGGGTCAATGGAACTGCAGGTACTACCCCCTCTCCCTGCAGCCGGCTACTTGAAATGGGGTGTCGCCCGGTTCCCCAAGTGAGTCGATACAAGACAGTATATTTTTATCCACCCTCTGCCACTCAGCCTCAGCTCGTGCGCCCCGACCTAGCTTGGGTGCCTAACAGGTTCCTCAGTTCCATCTGACATGTATCATCCGCATACACATGGATGGAACCAACGAACCCCGCCTCTGTCGTCCGCGAGTCCCATCGGACTCCCTGGGGGGCGCCACATGGAGGTGACAGTAGGCGTTGATAGGGATAAGGAGATCTGGGAACTCACAAGCAGTGGGTAGGGTACTTCACTCGATCATTCCGCAAAGAGTTGAGGAGATTCCCACACCTATCTCCCTCTCTAGACCTCCCATTACCCTATCCATTAGCCCCCCTTAAGTGAAGGGAAGTGTGTGTCAGGTGATGGCACAACTGAACATTGATTTAGTGCAGATCTGCTCAGTATAGTGTTATCACGTGGTTTCTAGTAGCCAAAGCGGAACTTCCCGATGACTTGGCTCTCGGTAGAGATCCGCTTCTGGGCTCCTCGAATCACCGCGGCTGTTTCCAAGCTGTATCTTTGCGAAAAGTTGACCGATTTCAATGATTTTTTTTTTCCTTTTATAGACAATATAGTAATGTTTTATATAATCGTAGGAATAACCAAGGGAAAAGTATGTAATTTTTTAGTTATTCACAAATAAAGTTTCTTTTCTTTCATAACTTGTTTGCCTGAATTTTCGGGATGATTGGACTATTTTGCCCGCCTGAAGGAGAAGGAAGCCTTCGAAATTGATGGCTCAATCTTGAGATTTGGTGAAGAATTAACGATGATAAGGCTTGCCTTGCCGATCAAAAACACCATCGATAAATAATATAAACTCCTGTCTCGATCATAGAGACCTCAAATCGACGAAATGAGACATGTATCTAATGCCAATACTACAATTAACGTCAGGTTGTGTGGATGCGAACTCCATGCCTTGCGTTATCTCGAAAATAGTACGTTTTTGGGCTTAAAAATGCAGGATCCGATAGTTGTGGAGGAACTATCAGGGTCTTGCTGTACGCATCAAAATCTTCAAGGTCCAATTTGTCCCGCATCGATCTACAGACCTACCACCGCTCCAGTATTGAAGCCTAGCAAAATGTTTGGTATCGACTTTATTTATTTTAGAAAGAAAAACAAAAGTGGAGAATACGATTCGCTAACCCACCGTGAAATTCTGAATCCAACGGTACCCCATTCATGGTATTGGAGCATGACAGGAGCTTATATTTGGTACAAAACGGATTTCGAGCCTTACTGTAATAATATATGTACGGATTTAATTAGTTCAGTAAGTGAAAGTTGTGTGGTACACTTCCCTCTGAATTTTTTTTTTTAATTTCCAAAATGTAAAGATTATCATTTTAATTCAAACTTAAATTAAAAACCATTTATAATTTTATTTTCTCGAAATTTTCCTCTTCTTTTAAAACCTATTAACAATCTCCAGTTGTATACTTCTTTTGTCTTATATATAAATACATAAGAATTATATTTTTATTGCAGGTTTTTAACACTGATTTGTTTTGACACTATAGAACATTGTTCAGTCAAAGTATCAGTGTGAAATTATGTTTTTGTATACATAAATTCAAGTTGTATATAGATGTTTAAACATAATTCTTTTACACTAGATCCAAGCCCACAAACATTTTTATTCCTTCTCATAGAACTATTTCCTTTAAAAAATCCTTTCTCATATGTGTTACCATGTTTTGTAATTCCACACCTACTTCCGTTTGCAAATCCCCATCCATAATCTCATTTATTTTCTATCTCCTCAGTTGTCAATGTTCTGAATAAATGTAAGAATAATATTTTTGTGTTTTAGAGATGTCAGCCTCATTTTGCTGTTATCTTACAGATACCTATCTATGACATATTGTTTATATGTGAACACGCTCATATATATCTATCTATGATTCAACTGTTAACTTGTGCCTCTCTATCATTTTAATTTCAAGGCTTGCTAGCTATGTAATTTAATTCTTCATCACTTTCTTATGTCAGACAAATATCACCAAATTGTTCATTATAATTATTCTTAGGGTCTGAATGTCCTAGAATAACATTTACTTCTCTTTCTTTCTATACATTATATATTATATGGTTATGTCATCTTTCTTCCATGATTGTACTTAATAATATTTTTATTAATTTTAGAAACCGTCGAGGTCAAAGAAGAAAAGGCTGAGAAAAAGGCCATTGACATAGGTAAAGAAGCTGCCATGGAGGCAGAAGTAAGAGCTGCTAGGGAGAGAGCAATAGTTCCACTAGAAACAAGAATTAAATCTTTTAGAGAAATGTTGTCTGAGAAAGAGGTTGGTTTTATGTTACTTTATTATTTAAATCATTTTATTAATAATCAAAGACAAAACAGTTCATTACCTTTTTCTCCACACAAATTTGTTATGAAATTCAGGAATGTTATTACATACATTTCATTACTATCTTTCTTTCCTTTTCGAAATGATGGCCAAAAAAAGTGTGTTGCTATAAACTTGAGTGCCAAAATGGCTATAACAATTTTAATGACAACTTGGCTAAAATCTCCTTGGAGCCCTTTTAATTTATATATAAAACATATTTTCCCGAAAAGAAGCCGTTAAAAAGGTCCTCAAATTTTCATTAATGATTATGATCGAATTTCTATCACTCGGCGAACGCTAGTTGTTATTAATATGGGCTTTTTGGGTTGCTTACACTGCACATACAATTAAATGCCCATTCCCTAACTAAACCTATAGTTATTAGATGGTGTCCACCAGTCAGAAATTTTAGGAATATGAGTGATTTTTTATTACTTGGAAAAGTCAAATAAATTTTGCTTAAGTCAGCATCAGTTCTAAACTATTTGGTCCAGCTTGAAAGAAATTCATGTCTTGTTGTTAGCTTGGATATTATTTTGGTTGTTATCTATTCTAAACATTGTTTCATCCATAAATAAGAATGTTTTCATTAAATTAATTTCATCAGGTATTACATTAGAAGAAATATTTTTTCTTACTTTTTTGTTTTGCAACTTTCTGTTATCATTGTTTTTGTTCGTGTGCCCTTTGTAATAGGGCTTAATTTTTAATCCTAAATGGCTAATTTTCAATATTATTAGTCTCCTCTAAAGTACATTTAATTTTTTTTTTTTAATAATTAACCATTTCAAATTAATTTTTTATATAAAAAATAGTTAAATATAAAATATGAAAGAATTTGATAATTAACTAAAAGAGAAATAAGATATCGTAACAGAGAATAGTTGTAATGGAGAAACCAAAGGAATATGAGTTCGCCTGAAAGATTAGAACAGGCTTCCAAACATAACATGTGCTTAATATAATACGGACTCCAGCACTATTATGTACATATACATACGTGGTTTTCATAAATGCCTTTAACATTGGTATTATTTAATATTTAATTGTATAGATTACAGCGATGAAAAAATTAAAACTTGTATATTTAAGGGTAATTAAACAAATAAAAACACCCACAATGAAATATAAATAAATATTGCATTTATAATTTTTACTTTCACTTCCCCTTTGTCTTAAAATACAGTTTAATAACTAATAGTCATTCAATCGTACAATCAACAAATCGTACAATCTATAATCAACCGGTGATATAATAAATAGGACTTTTGTTATTTTAATAGTACTTATGATTTGTTAGCTGTTTTAGCTGAGTTAAAAATGCAATTAAAAATTTTTATAATAACCCAACATGGCCAGAAAATAATTTCTATTCAAAGTTGGTAGTTGAGTTAAGGTTGTGTGTTGCACACCCCAGATTTTTTTAAATATGCTTGAGTAATAATTCATCCAACTTTTTTTTTCTAGGTTTCTGCTTTCAGTACATGGGAAAAAGAACTTCACAAGATTGTTTTTGATCCAAGATATTTACTACTCACTTCGAAAGAAAGGAAACAGGTCTTTGAAAAATATGTGAAGGAAAGAGCTGAAGAGGAAAGAAGAGAAAAGAGGAACAAGATGAAAGAACGAAAGGAAGAATTTCGTCGCCTAATGCAAGAAGCGAATCTTCATGGAAAGTAAGGAACTTTATGATGACTTTAGTAGTCTCATTATTAATTATTAATGTAATGCTGTTGAATATTTTGTAATTTGTTTACAAATAAACCACATATATTATATTTATGAATCTCATTCTTTCCGCTGAGTACAAACTTCCATTAAGTGTATACTAATGATTTCATTTGTCAACCATTAGAAAACCATTTAAGCTGGTGGTAAATTATTTGTAAAACACATTATTAATTTTGTTTATACAACTGGATTGTTTGTAATTATAGATTTTCTATATTTTTTGTTTCTATAAATAGATCTTCATTTGCTGATTTCGCTACAAAATATGCTAAAGATGAAAGGTTTAAGAATGTTGAGAAGATGCGGGAAAGAGAAAGTCTGTTTAACGAGTATATACTTGAAGTAAGAAAACGTGAAAAAGAGGAGAAAGTGCAGAAAAGAGATCAGGTGAGACTGTCTCAAATTTCTTTCTTATGTTTCAGGGTTTTTGTTATTAATTATATTTGTTAGTGGCACTTCAGTTGAAAGAAAAAAATAGGAAGTTTTATTAGTATAGGTATTTAAAATACATTTTTATAGTCAAGAAAGAAATTTTTTGCTTCTCTGTAACTTTTAAAGTTAAACACAATGAATTGCCACAATTATCATAAGATTTAAATGCCTCTGTTGTGCTGGTGTTTGTTGTATGAGTTGTAATTATATAATTTGACATTTATTTTTCTCTGTTACCAATATGTTTAAATTGACCCTTTATTGTTTTCTTATTGCAAGGATATTATATGTTATGGTTTCTAGGCTGTGTCCTCCCACATCTCAAACCTTTTTTAATCTATTTTAAATGATAAATATAATTTTTGGGGGCTGGAATAACCTAAGTGGCTAGAGCATAGGAGGGAAACTTTTTTATCCTTAGAGGCTACAGAAAGGTTAGGTAGTACTAATGGAGGCCACAACAATTCTTTATATTTTACTGTTGCAATTTTTATTTATCACTTAACACACCCATCTGCATATATTCATCTTAATTATATTAATTTTCGTAACTTACATAATTAAATATTAATTAATTCTAGTGCTAGATTGATAAATTTCATGCGAAAATGTTTGGAGGCTGCAGTTTAGTCTCAGAGGCCACATGAAGCCTCTAGTTCAATTCTCGAATTTCATAACATAAATAATTGAATATTAATTAATTCTAATGCTATATTAATAAAGATCATGCAGAAATGTTTAAAGGCTGCAGTAACCTCAGAGAGGCCACATGTCAACCATAGGTTCTTCACCTATACCTGTTAATTCGCTATCTGTAGAAAATAATCCCTTCTCAACTCAGTATGTTCATTCTGTTTTGAGAGAGCCTCCAGGAAAATAATTATGAGAATTGATTATAGAGGCTTTAATGGGCTTTATGTGTCTGCTCAGCTTTAAGTAACCTGGATTGGCCTACCACGTACTATTTTATTGATTCCTCTGATTTTCAATATGATATTAATTAACAGTTGCAAGTGATTAATGCATATTATAACTACTAAACCCATTTTATCCCTTATTCTTCTATTCTTTGACTGTAAAATGGGAAATATCAAGTGTATCATGAATATTTTTTGTATAAATAAGCTAAGAAAATATTACACAAAAGTTCAACTGGTTGACAACTTTTGTGTGTCTCAACACATTGAAAAATTAATATTTCATTTTTTATAAAATTTTGTTTTTTATAATTACTTTAGTTCAGTAGTATATTTCAGTTTATTAATATTAATTATCTATTGCCTTGTAACATACTATATAGTACTAACATCACCAATTTCTTTCCTGTTACTTAATTATTATATTAATTAAATTGATTTTCTAGTAGTGGGAAATAATGGCCCCTGTTACATTTTTGCAAAATTGGGTTTTTGACTTCATAAAATTTAATAAAGCTCTCACTAAGTATTGTTAATGTAAACAAATCCAGAAAGCAATAATTGTTGTTGGTTTATCACTTTAATCAGCTAGGATTGTGAGCTCTCTGATTATGATTTATGAATTCACTTACATTTAAGTACTGCTTTCACCTTTTTTCCAACAGCTTCATTTTAAACTATGTGACATTTTTTTTTTTAGTCTATTGATAATTTGTCATTTCAAGTGAGATTGACATAGACTGATTTTGTGATAATAATAAATGATTTTTAAAGAAAACTATGGCAAAAGTATTTCCACCGCTTCGGTGTTTAGAACAGTAATATATGTTTTGTCAAGCAAAAAAGGTATTACCTTAATGACCAGATCCCAGGAGTAAGTCCTGAGATTTAAGGAAAAAGTTTTAAGAAAAACATGAGGTATATACATAAAGAAAGTATCTGAATAACGAGAAATATTGCAGCATTAGGTGGATAAATGTATTGAAATGGATGTATTATCCACATTTATAAAACTCAAAAGAGCATTTTCATGGGATAACCTGAGTGGGATTTTCTTGACTTTATTAGAAAAACTTTGTATAAACCCGTGCAAGAACACTTCTTTTGTCTAAAATACTGAGTTATTTCTCAGTCCTTTTATAGCTTTAACCATTACAAAATTTATGACTAAATTTGAATTAATTTTTATTAAAGAAATTTTATGGAGGAAGCTAATTGAACTCTTTATAGAACACTGATTGATTTATTGACTATGTTGATTTTTCTGCCTTCTCTTGGTTTTTAAAAGAAGCAGAAGTTGTGTTTACCTTATTTAGGGCTACTAACTGAAGGTACATATTTCTCAAGATGGTTATTCTGGAAGGTTCCAGATAGATTTTACATCAAAAGTGGTCGATATTTCGACCAATCTATGGTGACCTCTTGTTTTTCTGTAAGTGTTTTTATAGTTAATTGTGTGCTCCATATCATTGGTTGCTTATTTATTTTTATTATAATAATTATAAAATGAAATATTTAATTTATTGCTCATTTTTAATACGTTTTACAGGATTAATCGTAATCAAACCAATTTTTTTTGGAACCGCTACTGCCATACATCTAGTCCATAGTTAATAGTTAGTGTATATATATATATATATATTTGCAATTCTGGTTTTATTTGCAAATGTTATTTTTTATTCAATCATTATAAGTGAGTATTTCGGCCATAGAGCATAGCTAATAAAAATTTCTACTAGGTGGAATCATTTAAAGTATGCACTTCATTTATATTACAAATAGCATATCCTGATAAATAAAAATATGAATTATGTCTTATAAAGGATTAAAAAGAAAACAATAGTAGCTTCAAGTACTATGACTAACTTATAACTAATTTCTGAGTTATAAATGAACTAAAAAATAAACCAAGAGCAAGAATTTCATTCATATATTGCATTTTTTACTAAGAAAAAGAAATAGAAAATAGTCCATATTTATATCATTTTCTTCAGCTGACACCAGATCAGTTGCTCAGGTATATAGTATAAATACATTTGGAACTGGAAATATCCCATTTTAATTTAATTCTTTGTTCTAGGGATATAATATAATCTTAAATTTTTGGTTTTAGAAATTTGAAACAATGCTAATTTTGTTTGATTTTTTTTTTTTTTTTACTATTAAGAGGAAAGTTAGGTAATCCTGTACAATTCCCAGAGCTAAGCAAGTGTGAGGGAGGGAATTGTTTATCTATTTTCTTCAATATAGCAAAGAAACTCGTTTAGGAATCTCAGTTAACAAGTTACTTTTATTTTGCCCATCCGTATTATTCTGTGCATAGCTTCTTGCAAAGATAGTTATGATTTACTTGTTAATTAGGTTATTATTTTGATTTGCTTCCATTTAAAATATCAAAACATATTACTGCTTAGGTACTCTCTGTAATAATCCACTATGCTCTGTTGTGATTTTTTATCTGAAGGCACCATCAGACTAACATTGCATATTAAAACAGAATTCATGATATTACACCACTTTTGTGCAACATTTACCCCACTTAGGAGTTAGTAGGAGTTAGCAATAAAAGAAAAAAAATTGCGTGAGTACAGTTTGCAGGTGCATTTAATGGCACCAATAACAAGTTTGGATTAGCAGCTCAAGTTATGACATAAAAAAAAAAAAAACGAAAGACAGCCTATTTGAATTTTAAGAAGAAATTTAAAAAATCATAATAAATGAAATCATGTTTGTAGTCATCTTGAAAATGTGAAAAAATAAAAACACTAATATTGATATTACAAAAACATTGAGAATACACTAGTATTCTCAGAAGAAGCAACTATTTGTTCATTGTTAGATGTAACCATATGTAAGGTAACACTTCAACATTGTTTGAGGATTTGATCAAGGTCTCACATTGTATTAGCTAGTTATGATAACTTAACTCAGATTTAAATCTAATCAACATTGATGCATCATCAATTCTGTTAACCAGTTATAAACTTATCAAAATTAGTAAAATTAAAAGTTGCTGCTACCAGGTCTTAGTTATCTTTAGAAGATTCCATTCTTATTGTAATTCAATTAAAGTTATTTTAATATTATATAGCAGTAGCACTTGAAGACTCTAGAAGTAGGTACTAATTCCTTCCTGAATATTCAAGATGATTTTATGAAAAAAACAGTATAACATAGATTTCCTTTATTCTGGATAATACTATATCTAATTTTTAAGATTTTTTGTTTTAACTTATTGGCTGGCTTCATTATTACAGGTATGCTACTCATGACTTTGAATTAGTCACTGATATTTTTTAGCTTATACCTATATGAAACAATCAGTTATTCAGTTGTTTATTTTTTCACTTTAAACTAGAGTATTCTAAAGTAATCGGGAGGAATATATAGTATTCATTCTTACAGGAGAAATAGTATGTGCTGAAACTGGCATTGATCTTTAAGTTGACTATAGCAACTTGTATCGCACGTGTACTTTCTTTTTTGTTTTTAAATTTTATTCCAAAGTAACATTCTCCATAATGATCTTCCTTACCTTCAGCCATTTTGGTGGCTGATTGTAGGTTTCAAATCAAATTAATTAATGAACCATGTTTTTAACCTAATTGTTGTCTATTGACCTTCTAGGATACTGTGATTGTTTTTATGTTTTTATAAATACTATTTATTCATTTCAAACTTTCTTTTCCCTCTGGGTTTTCTATTAACATAATCCCATTAGGTGTATTACTGTTGAGTGGGAGGCACTTAGCCAACTGAAACAAAATTTGACAATTCTTGCAAAAGAAAAGTATTTTCAGGTTGAAACAATTACCATTTATTTTTTTTATTATGTAATGAACTTATGGCAGTCAGGTTTTTGTTTATAGATATGTTAAGCTATTGTAACCTAATCGTTATTGTGTGCTGATAATTGATTTTTTTGAACTTGTATTTGCAGGTCTATATATCAAAATAGAAATAAATATTTATAAATGTACGCATGTATAGAGAAGTATATGTACGTACATTTAATCGTTTTTTTTTTTTTTTTGTAGCTATATGTTAAAAAATAATCATTCCTAATTTAATAATTTACTGATTATTTATCAATTTTTAACAGTTGCAAGTATTTACCTTATCAATTTTTTTAATCATGAAAAGTTTGATAGAAAGAAATTGTTAATAAATTGTCTGTTTTGTTTAATTTTCCATATTTTATTATGTATGAGGTTGTTATATTTGCAACATTTAAAATAATTATAAAAACTGTTAATATGTTGATCCTGTCAGAGCATAAATCAAATTAATATTTATTTTTTTAAAAATAAGAATAGAGTATAAAAATAAACTTCTATTTTTATATTTATATATAAATATTTTATTTATTTTTTTTTATAAATTGAAACTATCATTTAAAAAATTTCGATATTTTCAAAGTAACAGATTCTGTTTCTAACTTTAAACTGTTGATGAAAATAGATGATTCCAATCAATGAGAATATAATGGACAGGCATTTGGTAAGTAATGCCTTTCATTCAAAACTTAAAACTTTTTCACTTTTTTGTTTTGTTTTGTTTTTTTGTTTTTTAGTAATAATATATTTCTGATTATTTTTTTATGATCGGCTAGCAGTTAATATTTATGATCACAGATGATGTATGTAATAAAATTTGGAATCATCTACCTGACGATAGACTATGTTCAAGTAGAATGAGTTCAGATGAATGAGGAGGAAGGCCTACTTCACTATTCATTGTTAAGTTTGTAAGTCGATGTTTTTATGTCAGTCTTGTTGGATAGTTTGGAAATGGAAATGGTTAACTTACCATCTATTACAGAGTAGTATACAAAAATATTTAATAAACGGTTTTTCATTTTTTTATTTTAAATTGAAAGTGAAGCAATCAACGGCAGCCTATAAAGCATTATATAATTATATTTAGATTTATATATTTCTTTCTTTATTAAAAGCATTTCATATAACTGAAATCATGATTTCTTTTAGTAATTGTCAATTTAAAAGATATGTATATATTTTTTTTACTTATCCAATATTTAAAGAAAAATATTCTTTTTGAATGGCGAATGACAATTGTTGTGATGCGGAACACTTTGTTTGACCTCTCTGCGGCTGTAGGGTGAACCGGGAGGCGTTTGGGCACACTGCGCACATCTGTGCACAAGCACAGCACTACCCCTTCTTCCATTCTACGGTCCACAACAGATGTCATGGATTGGCGCTAACCCGTAGGATGTCCCAGTTATCTTCTTTAGAGAGTAATTTGACACCAAAGCAAATAAAAAAAAAATAAAATAAAGAAAAGTTATAAAAAATTAAAATAACAGGGGGTGCGCCAAAAGGCTGTCTTGTTAATTATCTGAGTTGACGGTTTTTGTCCACGAAATTTAGGTTTTTGTTCTTATTTTATCCTTCATGACAAATTTATTGCATAGTATATAATTTAAATAACAATATGTATATTGAAATTATTAATTAATATGATATTTCTGTTGTGATCATTCTCTCTCAAGATCAGTTCAGAATGGTACAGTGTATGGATAATTAAAATTTTTTTAGACATCTATTATTATTATTGTATCACTTCCTCTTTTTTTTTTTTTTTTTTATCAATTATTTATACATCTTAAAAATAAGTCTCTTTAAGTAATAATAATTTTCCAGAAATAATTTTTTTTTTCATTCCATTTTTGTTATAGATACTTTATTTGTTTGAAGTTTGAGAAAATTGATACAGATTTTTAAATTATTTTAGATGGGTTATTAAATAAGAGAAACAGGGAAGTTATAAATGTTGCTGATTTATGAAAATTGTCATCTGAATGAAAGCTATTGTGTTAGGGTCATTTTTTAAATTTCGGCTTTAATATTGCAGTTTGAAAACATAGTGTATATAAGCAAACTTCCTTTTTCTCTTTGATCATTTTTTATAAAATCATCATGTATTTAAATTAATGATTCTCGTAAGATTTTAAGTTCATAGTTATCCAAAAATTTTAGGATGTTTTAGAGATAAATTTTCTAGGATACATAAGAAAAGAAAAAACAAATTTTAAATTCGTAATGAAATCAATTGTGATTTGCTTTATTAAATTTTTTTTATAAATAGCATCTTATTATAATTCTAGAGACCTGTCTATCCCTATATTGATCTCCAGAGAAAGAATCAAGGCTTAAATCATTATTTCTTCGTAATAATATCGTTAATAGTGTAGTTCAGGTAAGTGTGTAAAATACACTCTCAAATTATAGGTTTATCAATATCTCAGGCTGAATAAGCTTTTTCTTTTATTTTTAATATGTTTTGTATTCTGAAATTTCAATTTTTTAGTAGATTTTTTGTTTCTGGTAGATCTTTTTAATCACGTTTAACTTTAACCTGTTTACAAATATTTAGTTATATTTTTAAAAAATTTAAATGATTAGAAACTATAAAATCTAAATTTCGTGTTTAAGAGCCGTGTAAAAGGTTTTAAGAAGTATTCATAATTGTGGAAAAAAAAGTTTATTTTTGGCGCATCTCAGATTACTTTAAATTTTAAGACTTTTTTTAACAAACTTTTTATGAAAAAAAAATTTTTATTTCATCTAATCATTTACTGATTTATAATAGTTCATTTATTTCTTTATTTAATTAATATAATATTTATGTTTTAATTTAAAATGAAGTGCACTTTTATTAATTTTTTCATTCATTAACTTATTATTTTTTGTTTGATCATCTTGATCATCATTATGCTGTTTTTGTTACATTTGTTAGAAATTTATACTTTGAAGTGTTATATGATTTTGAATTCAATTGATCTATTGAGACTTGATTTGAAACCTTTAATGCATGCTCGTTTCTGCTATAATGAATATAAAATTATTATTTTGGCCTCCATATTTGTTGAATAAATAGGATGACATGTTGGTTTTCCATATATATGAAGGGAATCAAATTTAAAGAATTTTTTGTATGTATGAAGTCTGGATGTTTTATGCCATTTAGATATTTCTATGACTCCAGATATTACCTATGTTTCAGATTACGGCATTCCAGCTTTTCTCAATATTTTTCACATTCAGTTATTTTCTTATTAGTTTTCAATGATCCAGTGATATTTTGAAAATTATAAATTTTCTATTGTTTTAATTTTTTTTTTAATAAAAAATATTTAATTTGTGTACTTGAAGTATTGCTGGAACATTGAAATATTTAGTTATATCAAATTGAAACACTGTTTCATTTGTAGTATTATGTATTTTCTAGGTGAGAAAAGACTTTTTCTCGTTACTCAAAGACTCATCTGATGTCGACCGCCACTCAAGATGGGGTGAAATCAAGAAGAAATTGGATTCTGATCAGCGTTACAAAGCTGTAGAATCAAGTGCTCAAAGAGAAGATTGGTTCAGAGAGTTCATTAAACAGTTAAAGGATGAAAGAAAAAAAGAAAAAGATAGAAGAGAGCGTGAGCGAGAAAGAAAGGACAGAGATAGAGATCGTGAAGAAAGAAGAGAAAGGAAAAAAGAGAAAGAAGAAGAAAAGGAAAATAAACCAGAAAAAGAAGTTGAGGATGTAAGTGGATTAGTTTTTAAAAATCAATTTAAGGTTTTTTTTCTCTTCATAATAATATAGATAATTAAACTTATAATTGATTAAGCTGTAAGGTCTTAAAGAAACCAATTATACACTCGCCTTGTTCATACATTGACTATTTTATCTTACAGATTAGCATGTATGTCAGTAATTCTTGAGACTTGCAATTTCTTGATATATTTTTGATTGGTGGGTCATTTAACTTAAATTTGCATTAATTCATTCCATAAAAATAGTTACATCAAATTATATCCCAAATTCATCTTTGAATGCAATTATCTCATATCAACAAGTTATAAGTATAGGAACAGAATTATGTATTTTTGTTTTTAATGAAATATTGAAATTATTCTAGCCCTTCAGCTATTATTCAGTAGATTTCCTATTAAATTTTAGGAAGAAATGAAAGAGGTTGAAGATGCTGAAAAAGAAAAAGAAGCACGTGAGAAAGAGGCTGCTGACAAGGCTGCTCGTGTTGAGGCATCTCTACGAGAACGTGAAAAGGAAGTACAAAGAACGTTAGCTGTTCATCTTAGGGATCGAGATACAGAGAGAGAAGCTCACAAACATGACGAAGCAGTACAACATTTTAATGCTCTTTTAGCAGATCTGGTAAATATTGTTAGTCAATGCAATCTTATCCATTGTTTACTTTGGATGAATTAAAACCATATATGGGCAAAATCATAATCAACTATTACGATTTAATCAGGTAATCGCATCACATTTTTACTATATTGAATCAATTATAAAATTGCCATGGTCGTTAAGTTTTATTTTCCGTTTTATTGATTCTGATTTTGCCCATCTGTGGTTAAAACTTTTTCACAATGTGTAGAAGTTTTTTGTGAAAACTCAACTCCAGTAAGGAGTTATCTTTGTGGTGGCCAGCTATATTTTGTTCATATTTAGGTTTTATTTCCTAACATTAAGGTTTATTATTTTCAATCGACCTAAAAAAAAATTGACCCATTCTCTCAAATCCAAATCTTTTCATGATAAAATACATAATTGGTCTGTCCATGGCTTTTCTCCAAAACTACTGGGTCAGGTTGTTTTCAGATTTGCCTGTGACTTAAGAGTTACAGGTCACTCAAGAAAGAACCTTGGAACTCCACATTATCATCTGCCATTTCATTTTGGAAAATTGATGACCTATTAGCTATTTTGTTTTAAAATGGAAATTCTAAGTTTCAATAGCCCATATCTTGGCCATTTGTGAAGATATAGGAAAAATGTATGTATATTTACTTTATGATTATAGCAATGCTTGAAAACAAAATCATTACAATTTTTTAAAAATTAATAAATTGGGATATACTTTTTAAAATCATAAGGCATTGTATAAAAATTTGCTGCTATCTATAATTTAAACTTCATCTTATTTCTTCCATTAAAACTTAATATTTTATTTTAGTTTATTACATTTTTGCATAAAAAAATTTATTGATCTGTAATTTTCTGAAAAAGTTAAGAAACAGTTAGGATTTCGAATAACCAAACTTGGTAGAAATTGGTACATGTTCCTTTTTTTTTTTTTTTTTTTTTTTTTTGAGATCCATTTCTGTTGTTCAGGTTCGAAATTGTGAATTAAGTTGGAGAGAAGCTAAGCGTCAACTTCGTAAGGATCATAGATGGGAATTAGCTGAACTTTTAGATCGTGAAGAAAAAGAAAAACTTTTTAATGCACATATCGAACAGCTTACTCTAAAAAAGAAGGAAAAATTCAGGTAATTTATATCTAATTTACTTTTTTTTAAATGGTGGGGTATTATTGTACAATACACATATTATGAAATAAATTATACACATTTCATTTTATTACATTTATAAAGCATTCTCTTCCCCATATGTTCTATTGTTATTATGTATTCATATTACTTAATAAAATTATTTTTTGTTTTTAGAGAATTGCTTAATGAAACTCCAGAATGTTCTTTATCATCAAGTTGGAAAGAAGTAAGAAAGGTTATCAAAGATGATCCAAGATATAGTAAATTTTCTTCTAGTGATAGGGTAATTTATTATCATTGTTAATTTAATTTTTTACTTTCACTTACCCTATATATGAAATATATAGGTAAGGAAAGTATTGGGATCATGAAAATATTTGAATCTCTATTTTCAATGGAAATACACATTTTGAGATTCCCCGAGTCCAAATAACCAAGTCCCACAAAATGGTGTGTGTGTATGTTAACAGTCTAGCTCAAAAACACTAAGTAGTATAAAAATGAAATTGCATATTTAAGTTTTGTATATGCCTGGGATGTTAAAGTAACTTTTTCATCGAAAACAGCTCTAACGATTTTGATTAAATTCATTACAATAGTGTATAAGTAGTTTTTAATACAATGTAGGTTTTATTCTCATTGATGTTCTCCAACAGGGCTTGAATGGCTAATTTTCAGTATTTCTTCCTCCAAAGTATCTTTAATTTTTTTTATTTGAAATAATTAACCATGTCATATAAGACTTAGATATAAAAAATAGTTGAATATAAAAGAATTTTATTATTAACTGAAGAAGAAATAAGAGATCATAACAGAGCAAAGTTGTAATAGGGGGACCAAACAAATATGAGCACACCCAAGCTTGCTCAAAAGATTATAACAGACTTCCATAGGTAACATGTGCTTAATATAATACGGACTCCGACAATATTATGTACATATACATATACGGTTTTCCTGAATGTTTTCATTGTTATTATTTAATATTGTATAGATTACAACAAAATAAAATTTAAAATTTGTATGTACACCCGGTACTAGTGGTGGGAACTAGTCCGTGAAGTAGGCCACTTGGTCCTTTTTGCCAAAAAAAAAAATTTATTTATACTGGTGTATAAACAAATAAACATACTAACAATGAAATATAAATAAATATAATGTATTAGATGGCTATGAAAAACATATGGTAATTAATTGTTTTAAATAAAGTTTCCTACCATCTTTTAGTTTTACTTTCACTTCCCTTTGTCTGAAAATAGTTATTTCTGCTAGGAAGAGGGTAGTAAGGGAAAGTTGTGTGATACACACCAGATTATTTTATTTTACTTTTCTACAACATTTTTACTATTGATTTATAAGATTCAATGAGATCCTCTTCATTTTTTTGTTTTTAGAAATGTGAACGAGAGTTCAAAGAATACATTAAGGATAAGCTAGTTGCTGCTAAAGCTGATATGAGAGAACTTTTGCAGGTAATAAATTATATGGATTAAGTATTATTAATGAAGTTTAAGATCATCCTAGAAGTGATATTTATTCAATTGGGAAAATACTACAAGCCCATTTGCTGTTTCTTTATTTGTAGAAAATATATCTCATAAAAATAATCTTATGTTACTTGTGCTTATACATTATTTTGATGGGTAAGTAGTTATACCTCTTATCTGAAAATATCAAATTTATACTAGGGATAAAAAAGTGTTTTTATATCTCAATTTGGGGCTCTACAAAAACATCAAATTCTTCCCATTTACAATCCAAAATCCTAAAGCGCCCCCCAAAACATAAGAGTCGACCCCAATATCGATTTAATTCAAAAAGTTAAATCCCCAATCCCGAATTCGATATCATTTTCATAAAAAGCGGCCTGCAAAACATATAGTCGACCCTGATATCGATTTAAATCAAAAAGTTAGAAAAATTATTCATAAAGACCTCAACATTCCTCTTGTGGAAGACTTGGCCCAAACTAGATACACCTCTCATAATTCCAAACTCTTTGGTGTCACCCCAATCCTCTCCGACGGCCTGCGATCCTTCAAGGAGGTCATTAAAATAATGTAGACATTTACTACTTTTTACAGGGAAAGAAGGTAAGAAGTATTTATTTTAGTACTGGTTCAGTTTTGAATTATCACCTTCTAGGCACTGATTTGATATGTTCCTTATTTGATTAAAAACAACTTGAAACATACAGAATTATGTTTTTCTTCTGGGTTTAGCATTCTGATGGTGTCCTCTCTAGGGTAATACCAAGAGAGAATCACTGTATTTTCATAAAAGGGGTGCTGCCCAATTATATTGGGTTGCTACAAACTAGAGATGGGCAAAATTGTATTCTGAGTAAAAAGTACAATTACAGAGTAATTTACTCAAATACTCACCCGGTTGGAGTATAGAGTACATTAATCACTACTCGACCTCATGATTGACGAGTACAAAAAGTAATCAGCTGTCCTCGTGAGTACTTTCTATTTTCAAATCTACTCAGCAATATTTTACTCTGAGTACTTTTCAAAGTAATCGAGTAACATCAGGGTCAACTATTAGGTTTTGGGGGGCGCTTTTTATGAAAATTATATCGAATTTGAGATTGGGCCCCCCGGGCCCCGACTTTTTTTAACTTTTTGGATTAAATCGACATCAGGGTCGACTAATATGTTTTGGGGAGCACTTTTTATGAAAATATCGGATTACGAATAATTTTCATAAATTTTGAGATAGTGCCCCCGGGGCCCGACTTTTTGTAACCTTTCGGATTTAATCAATATCAATGTGGATTATGAGGTTTTGGGGAACAATTTTTATGAAAATGATGTCAGATTTTTTTTTATAAAATGCGTCCCCTAAAACTTAATAGACGGCCCTGATATCGACTAATTCCAAAAAGTGAATCCACTGGGTGCAATCTGAAATCTGACATCATTTTCATAAAAAGAGCTCCCCAAAACCTGATAATTGACCCTAATATCAATCAAATCTGAAATGTTACAAACAGTCGGGCCCCGGGGCCCCAATCTCAAATCCAACATCATTTTCATAAAAAGCGTCCCCCAAAACATAAGAGTCGACCCCAATATCGATTTAATTCAAAAAGTTAAAAAAAATCGGTGCCCAGGGGGCCCATTTTCAAATTTGATAACATTTTCATAAAAAGCGCCCCCCAAAACATAATAGTCAGCCCTGGTATCGATTAAATCTGAAAAGTTATGAAAATTCGATGCCCGGGGGCACTATCTCAAATCCGATAGCATATCTTTATAAAAAGAGCCCCCCAAAACATGATGGTTAGTCTAATATCGATTAATGGGGGGTCAGAATTGGTCAGATTGAATATGGCCGCTATTATTGAAGGAAATAAAAGAAAACATTTTTACTCTTTATAATAATGACGGAGTAGTTGAAAAATTGGGGATTGGGGTTTTCTGGGGTTTTTACAATAAATAAATTTTGTATATTACGAGATTTTCCAGAGACGAAATTCTCTGTCACTTCTGACACAGTTAGCCTCCCATCGTGTGTCACATGACATGACCTAAGGACAAGATAGTATGGCTGCTGCATGTGTAAAAGTATGGTGTAGTCTAATGACACATTAACTCGTCTCAGACCTGGCTTCAACATAAAATCAAGATTTCTCCATCCACTGATGAATTGACGTATTGGGAACATTGGTTTCTCGAGCTGCACAGCTGTGTTAAGGAACAAATATGATCAGCCAGGCTGGAGATAATATATTTCTTTTTAGTTAGGACATTTTTGAGGTGTGTTGCTCCTGGTTTTAAGGCATTTGTGACCCTCTGGCTCTTCAGTTTCACAAATGAGCATAAAATCATTATTTTCATAATAATATTCCTCACATTGAGATGGAACATTACATTCAACAACAGTTCTTGTCATTATTCTGTAAGAACAGTGATAGAGTTGTGGTCAGCGTGATATTCTCTTATAATAAAGTCCTCCGTTCAAGACTGCTGGGTCCTTTAAAATCTTTTTTTCTTTTTATATAAAAATATAATTTGTTAGATTCATAATTCATAAATTATAGTTAATTTAGCAATTAAATTAACTTCATTTTAATTAAGTTATAATTCATTTTGTTGCATATGCATACATACATAGAACATGGTATGGTTATGGTTTGCTGTAGTAGAATAAATTTTATATGACTACAGAAGACAGAATAAATTACAACAGATTTGCTTGATAAGTTACAACACAGTGGCAAATTTAATGTAAATTAATATAAATAATCTAAAAGTTTTTTTATTTTTAATATTACTCTTATTTTATAATTTTTTATCTGTATGCAAGTTCAATTTATTCTAATTTCTGAATATTTAATTTCTTTTATAGTGTATTATATTATAGTATATATATTATAGTGTATGATATGCATTGTTTATTTTATAATTTTCATTGGTATTAAGAGAATACCTTTAATTTATTTTTATGACATGTATCATTTATTTTATTATTTTTATTTTTATTTACACAAATTAACTGCTACTAGGGTTTTATTCATGCCATTCATGCCCTTTAATTTTTTATTATTAAAAAAAAATGGTTAACATTTTATTTAAAATCTATTTGTGCCTATGAGAAAGTTGATTGAGAAAGCGGATTTGATGATTCATTATTTTGTTTTTGAAAACCTGCGGCCATCTCAAGTAGAATGAGTAATCTAATTGTTAGATAAATTCTACTGGGAAATGTTAACTCATTTTCAACAGTGTAAAATGTAGCATTTTTATAAAAATAATTATTTAACAAATAAAATTAATTAAAAGATAATTCAACTATCTATTTCTCTAATATTTAAAGTTTGCCCAGGTTTAGAAAAATAAAGGATATAACTAATAAAAAATGATCATTGATTATTTTTAATAATCAATGCGCTATATCAGGCATAAAAAAAACCACATTAAAATCTTAACTTTTTACTGAACATTTAAAATTTATAACTTTTAACATTGCTATGATTATTTTACCAACTCTGCATGGTAATATTAACTCATAATTTAAGTGTATAGTTTATTAGTTTAATAATAACATTAATTAATAAAATTGAAAGTAAGAGTATTTGAAAACAATTCAAGTTATGTCTAGTCTTGGCTAATGTTGTTTGCTCCACAGCCTGGTAAATGTTGTTTATATGATAGCCATGTTAGTGTGAAAAAGAACCACTTTTGGTTTAAAGTCAGCTAATTGTTTTTTACTCAACAGTCGGGTAACTGTGTAATAACTCTTAATGCTTGTATTACTTTTTTTTTTTTTAAAGTGTCTGAATAAAAAAAAATGTTTTATCTGATTGAACTGTTTTTGAATAATCTGAGATATGGAGCTGCATTCATTATATATTATTTATATCATAATGATACCAATGCTATAGAATTAAAAAAAAAAAATCAAATTCTAGGTCTCAATACTTCATATTCCTTCACCTGTTGTTCATTTCTTAGGCCACCATGATAACAAACCTACAAAACCTAGCAAATTATTGAGTAGCATTTACCAATTTATCATATTTGTTTTTTTATCAGGAGACAAAGCTGATAACCCACAAATCTAATGCTTTGGTCGAAGAGAATGAATCACATATGAAAGAAATAGAAGAAATGCTTGAGAAAGATAAAAGGTACCTGGTGCTAGGCCATATTCCTGATGAAAGGCGAGAAATAGTTAAAGCATACCTTGTAGAATTAGAAAAACGGGGGCCACCTCCCCCTCCGACGGCCTGCGATCCTTCAAGGAGGTCATTAAAATAATGTAGACATTTACTACTTTTTACAGGGAAAGAAGGTAAGAAGTATATGCTAAAAGGTTTATTTTCCTTTTATGTAAAATATATTTCTTTTTGTATTTTAAACAATCAAACCTGTTGTATATATTTATAATTTAATTTAATCTATTTAACTAGTTTCACTTGTTTATTTTTGTTTATATATATATATATATATATATATATATATATATATATATATATATATATATATATATATATATATAGATATATATAGATATATATATATATATATATAATTGAAAGTACTAAAAAGTTTCATAAATCAATAAGATTAAAAGTTAAAATGTATTTTGTATCTTAATTTTTTACTGTGACAAACTAAGGTGATATGCAACCAGCATCTTTTGACTATCTCTTGGAGTTTTTTCAATAAAAAAATCATTTGTTGTGGTTTTAGTTTCACATTATTCATTTATATCCTGTTCTAATGTATATCTATTCATATGATTAGATAAGTTTATAAGTTATTTATATTTGTATATTTCCCATTTTGTTTTGTATTTTCTTAGTTTATTTTTTTCTTTTTTTTTAGTTACTGAAGGAGCTAAGATGTAAACAAATCGATAACATGTTAATTTATTTTTTACCATTGTTTTGTATATAAACTCCATTAATCACTTTTATCAATATTGTGATTGATTTAATTATTATTATAAGATTAACTAGCTCTGAAGAACTGTCCTGTCATAGTGCAATTGTACAAATTATTTTTTGTTTTTAATTATTGTAGTAGTACATTGTCATTAGTTTTATTCTCGCTACACAAATAATTGTATGTATGTTTTTATTACAAAAAAAAAAAAAAAAAAAAAAAAAAAAGGCTTTTTATTTACATTTTTAAATTATCATTTTCACTTTCCTATTGGTTTTCAGTTATGATTTAATATTATTCTGTGTATAAAAAATTATATTCAAATAAACAGTAGATATTCAACATTCTTCTTACATTAATCATTAATCTTCTTCTATAATAAAAGGCTTATCGATCCATATGTTCTGTTCCGATAACAATAATAGTCTTTCTAACATTTCTTCCTTCACTAAACTCTGTCAAAACTTAAATGCTCAAGATCACATCTAATAGAATCATCCTTCCCATCTAATTTCAGAGCCAATGCTGCTGCCACATTCTTACTTGTCAGTGTAACACTGCTAACCCTTTTAAAGATCAATTTTTTAACCATCCTAATTATTCTATTTGCCACAATGCTTTCACCGCTATAATATTTGCTGGATGCAGACCAAAAATTTTGGCTTTATGTAGCTATCTAGTTGATAGCAACATAATTCCTCCTTTAGTTTTAATGTTATTATAATTATATTTTTAAAACTCCAGGTTTTAAAAATATAATGAGGTGATTCTTTCCTTATAATACAGAAAATTAAGAATTGATCCTAACATCAATAAGCTGAAAGTTATCAGAAATTATTCACTGCTCTCCTTTTAATAAATAATAAAAAGTACTCAAGTTTTCTTATGGGTATTGATGGAGAAGGAGGATTTTTTTTTTAATATATCAAAAAGAGGTTTCTCGAAACTATTATCCTACACAAAATTTCATTAGAAGTGATTCATTCTACATATGTTTATGCCTACTTCTATGGTTACAGAAATATTCAAGTCAAGGAATTTCCACTTTCAGTGATAATGGCTCCAAACATGAAATTGTCATTGTTCATAGTAGGTGGCACTGTTCAGAAATTTAATGTGTTAATATTCTCGATCCATTAAAAAACGAATGATAAAAAGGTCCTTTGGTTTAATAGTTCTAAAAATCAATAATGAAGTGGTGAAACTGACAACAAATTAATATTCAATATCAATTGTTAAGAAACTTTGTGAAAGTTTTAATTATTTCATTTCATTTTTATACTAACAAGGGAAGGTTATGGACCTGAGGTAACTGATTTCATTGAAAAGTTTTATAGTAGTAAGTTAAGGTGACCAGATGTTAACGTTGGTGAAGCAGGACACACTTTATGAGGAGGAGCAGACTGTCCAAATTTGTTGTTAGAATACAATACTAACAGACTATGGATGGTAACCATCAGAATAGGTGCCCTTATTGTGTCAGGAGTTTCGGTACTCCGACAGGCAGAGGACTGCACATAAAGAGAGCCCATCCAGAATTATACAATACGAATCTGAATACAAATCGGAAAAATCAACGATGGACTGATGAACTTCTACTACTTGCTATGGACGAGGTTCAACTCCTATCACATGGATGTACGTTTCGGCTCGATGAACTGGTCAACATGCAAGCCAATAGAACTGCCGGTAGTGTAAAGTGGACTAGGAGGAAAATTAATTACCATATTATCCGCCAAAGAATCCTGACCGAAGTAAACGAAGATCCAATGAATCCCGAAATAACCGTAATCAACTATGGAAATAATCCAAAAGTTGCCTTCCTAGAGGCGTTTGAGACTACTTATAACAATATCAACAATCCTAATCCTACGGTGATGTCCATTATAAAATTGGCTGAAGATGGCAAGGATATGTCGGATCACCTACGGACCTGGATCGAATCTGTACTGCCTGGACGGGAAGATACTAGCGCTAAAACCCATCACAGCGTTTCTACAAATAGACAACTTCCAGCTGATGCCGCACAACGAAGAAAGCAGCAATTTAAACGAATACAAAGGATGTGGCTATCAAAAAGTTGTAAACGAAATACTTGATGGGGCCACAACTAAAGGAAAACACAGCATCAAGGAGCTGCAAGCATATTGGAAACCTTTAATGGAGACAGCATCCTGTCCCGTTATCCCTAATACACCAGTTCCTCGCAATCGTTTGTTCACGTTGTGGATGCCCGTGACAACAGAGGAGTTTGAGTCCAACACTATGGACAGGAATTCATCAGCCGGACCTGACGGCATCACGGTTCAACAGTGGGAGTCCTTGTCAACATCATACAGATCCGTATTTTTAAACTTATATTTGGCCAAATCTCCTGATTTTCTATCCTGACCTCTGCACGTACAATATTGATTCCGAAATCGGAAAACCCCAATGAACCAAACGATTACAGTAGCGTCTGTCCCATTACGACAGTTACACAAGATTCTGGCTGCAAGATTAAACAAAATGGAGCTTTTCCACACAAATCAGCGTGCATTCATTGCCGCTGACGGTACCGCAGAAAACGTTTTCACATTGCAGGCTTTGATGGACGATTCACACACAAAAAAGAAAGACTTATATATAGATTCCATTGACATAGCTAAGGCGTTTGACACTATTAGCAATAATGCGTTATATCAAATACTAGAATGGAAAGGGATACCAACTGGATTTATTCAATATATTAGAAACTTATACCAGAAAGGCTATACTCGAATAACCCATAACAAACAATGGTCCGAACCCATAATTTGTAATAGAGGAATCAGACAAGGGGATCCTCTATCACCGTGTCTCTTCAACTTAGCCCTAGACTGGGTCATTCAATCTTTACCAGAAGGTATTGGATACAAAATGACGGGTAAGGTGGTGAATTGTTTAGCCTTTGCAGACGACATCATTATGATTTCATCCAGCTCGAACGGACTAAAGAAATTACTGACAAGGGCAAACGCATCGATTAATGAGCTTGGTATGAACATTAATCCTAACAAAAGCTTCACATTATCATTGACTAAGGTCGTTAGGTCGAACAAAATGAAAGTGGGGGATAGACCTATGTTTGCCATAGACAATACTAATCTTAGGAGCCTGGGAATTATGGAGGGATGGGCATATCTGGGAGCAAAATTTAAAGCCAATTACTGGGATTCTATTAGCATAGCAAACGATTTTTCGTCCGCTTTGCAAAGGATTAAGGAAGCCCCAACAAAGACTGATTACTTTGCGAACGTACCTCATTCCAAGGTTTTTCCACGTGCTCACCTTAAGTAAGAATAAGGTCTCTGAGTTGGAGAAACTCGATATTCTGACGAGGTCCGCAGTTCGAGAATGGTTAAAGCTACCTCAGTATACTCCCACCTCTTACTTTCACACATCGTGTTCCAGTGGTGGGCTGGGAATAACGAACTATTCTCTGACCATACCCTCACTTAAACTCGGAAGGCTACGAAGAATGGAATTTTCAGGATGCCAAGCCGTGAGAGCTGCTTTTGGATCCTCCTACGTAGCTCAATTGATAGGAAAAATTTCTGTCCATCTAACAAAAAAAGGCATAAATCCTGAAAACGTCTGCAATCAAGAGCGGAAGCAATTTTGGGCCATCAAACTTTATGAAAGTGTCGATGGGAAAGCTCTTAGAGAAGCCAGTCTCTGTAGCCCTTCAACGCACTGGCTTTCGGACTACGCATCAGTAGCTAAAGGACGGGATTTCATTCAAAATGTGAAGACCCACATAAATGCGCTACAAACGAGAGTTAGAACGTCCCGAGGAAGAAGAGCCTACATGGAGACCCGATGCCGAGGAGGATGCCCTATCGACGAGACTGCAAGTCATGTCATCCAAACATGCTACCTAACCCATGGCGGGAGGGTGAAACGACACAATGCTGTCGTAAATTTGCTAGAAGAAGCCCTCTCCAAGAAAGGTTATGAGGTAGAAAAAGAAAAAACCTACGTAGGCAGCAAAAGGAAGTGGAAACCTGATCTCGTTTGTTCTAGAATGGGAAAGACATTCATAATAGATGCCCAGATCGTTGGAGATAATCCGAGTACCTCTTACTGGCACAGAGTAAAAATTAACAAATACAAAGCCTTAGACTGTAGAATGGCTATTGGTCGAACAATTAAAGTGCCATTCATGGACATTAACGTATATTCCTGTACTTTGATCTGGAGAGGAATATGGTGTAGAGATTCCATACGAGACCTTTCAGGATTGCGACTGACAAAGAAAACGATGAATCACATCACATCAAGTGTTCTCAAGGGATCGAACATGAATTATTAAGGTTGGCATAAATTGTTACCCCGTTGAAAATGAAAAGAAATAATGTATGGGTTATTTTTTAGTTGGATGCGATATCATATATTCATCACCTTTAATCTAAATTTTTAGAAGCCCTTATGTCATAATAATTTAGATTTAAATCCGATTTAATATAAAACGTTCAATATTGAATCCCACTTGTGCTTAAATAAGATATATTACGGAAAAAAAAACATGTGTGTGTTATTAACAATGTATTATTTTTTGAATATTGTGGATGTGTATGCGGATGTAAGTAGGTATGCATATAAGTGTATGTATGAGTGGGCATGTGCGTGTGACTCTGTGTATGTATGCGTGACCATTTATTATATATATTTTTTTTTTTTTTGTTTTTTGTTAGTCAAGCAAATTTAACTAATTGATGGTTAATTTTATTTTTATTGAATTTTGCATGTATTGGGCCTTTATATATATTTAAAATATTTATGACGCAGCAAGTTATTGTATAAATATCTGCATAGTTTTTGACGAAAATTTTAATGCTTGTGAGACCTGGGGACACTAACCCAGGATTTATCTTTATATTTGTATTGTGTTTTGCTTTTATTTTTATTGTTTAGTCTTAGTTTTTGTTTCTTTTATGGTGAAGGTAGCACCATGTTAAGGTAAATTGAATTGTGAATAAGAAAATTCTGTATGTAAAAGAAAAGAATAAAAAGCATGTATTTTCTGCCAAATAAAGAAATATATATTAACGTTGGTGAAGCAGGACACAATTTATGAGGAGGAGCAGACTGTCCAAATTTGTTGTTAGAATAATTAATTTTACATAATAATACCAGGTTATCATTATGTAAAATTAATTGCATGTGTTAATCAGGTGA